TGCTGCTGCACATAGCCGCTCAGCGCGACTACGAGCTTCACTCTCTCGACTTCAGCACTGCGTTCTTGCAGGGTAGCCTGCACGAGGAGATCTGGCTTCGCCGTCCACCTGGCTTCACTGGGACTTTCCCTCCTGGCACCCAGTGGAGCCTCCGACGGCCAGTCTACGGTCTCCGCCAGGCACCGCGTGAGTGGCACGACACACTGAGGACTACGCTTGCGGCTCTTGGGTTTGCTCCTTCTACTGCTGACCCGTCGCTGTTTCTTCGCACCGACACTTCCCTGCCGCCGTTCTACATCCTCGTGTACGTCGACGACCTGGTCTTTGCCACAGCGGACACTGCTGGACTCGCCTACGTGAAGTCCGAGCTGTTGAAGAGACACACGTGCACAGACCTGGGTGAACTGCGCAGCTACCTTGCCTTGCAGATCACTCGGGACAGAGCACGCCGCACCATTACCTTGACTCAGTCACACATGGTGCAGCAGGTCCTTCAGCGCTTCGGCTTCACGTACTCCTCGCCTCAGGCCACTCCTCTGCCTACTCGCCACTCACTCTCAGCTCTGCCTTCGGATGAGTCCGTAGAGTCGAGTGGTCCGTATGCGGAGCTTGTTGGCTGCCTCATGTACCTGATGACCTGCACACGACCTGACCTTGCATACCCTCTGAGCATTCTTGCACGCTATGTTGCTCCTGGGAGACACAGACCGGAGCACATGGCTGCAGCGAAGAGGGTATTGCGCTACCTGTGCAGTACGTCAGGCATGGGGCTAGTGCTTGGAGGGCGGAGTCCAGTGGTCCTTACCGGCCACGCGGACGCTTCTTGGGCTGACGACCAGGCTACGCAGCGGTCGTCACAGGGTTACACCTTCAGCCTTGGTTCCGGCTCTGTCTCGTGGCGGTCTACTCGCTCGTCTTCGGTTCTCGGCTCCAGTTGTGAGGCTGAGATCTACGCCGGGGCCATGGCTGCACAGGAGCTTCGCTGGCTCACCTACCTGCTGACTGACCTTGGAGAGCCGCCTCGTTCTCCTCCAGTGCTGTACGTAGACAACAAGGCTATGCTGGCCTTGTGTCGAGAGCAGCGCTTGGAGCACAGAACGAAGCACATTGCTCTCCGCTACTTCCTTGCTCGTGAGCTGCAGCAGCGTGGTCAGTTGCGACTTACGTACGTGGCCTCTGAGGCCAACACTGCTGATGTGTTCACCAAGGCACTTGCGCCTTGTGACCATCAGCGCTTCTGCACCCAGCTGGGTCTTGTGCCTGTCTTGCCTCACTTGCTCTCCTCTTGACTTCACTTGTACTGTGACATATATATATACCTGCTCTTGCTTGTCTAGCTTTATATATATGTCTGTACTCTTGCTTGTGAACTGGCCTTTGGCCTTGCTCTTGTGCTTGGACTGTGTGGTGACTTTGTGGTCCACCCTGAGCTTTGCTTTGTCTTGCTTGACTGGTCTTGTGACCCCTTGTTCTCCCCCACTTTGCTTATGGGGGTGTGTCAGAACATATCTATAGCTTATACTGCTGTGTAGGCTGTAGTGGGGTATCCCATAGGGGGTACAACCCAGTTAGGGTTTCATATTTGTACTGCTTTCATTCATAGTCCATTCATTTTTCCTGCTTACTCTTTTCACACTTAACATAGGCCTGCGCTTATATCCGGGGCCATACGGTACCCCTCAGAGTACATGGTTAGCTAGTTTGCTATTTAATCTCTTGTATTCCTACCGTATCTTATAATCATCTTGTTCTCTTTCAATTTACCAACAAGGTCACTACAGAGACTCCGTTGTCTCCTCTCAGACTTAACAGATCTTATCTTATCTACTTGATCCTTTGGTTTTATCAGCACAGTGTAACACTAATCCCCCAAAAAAATACCCAAACCCATCAGTGCAGGCCCTAAAATTCACCCTTCTAATCAGTGTAGCAGTGTAAATTACACTGATAACAGAGCCCTCTAACCAGACTGGAAGTTGGGGCTGCCACTAGAGAGCAGTTTGCGCCTGTAGGATGTTTTTATGGAATATCCTTCCTTCCCATGTGTAAGCCCCGTGGGCAACAACCTGGTCTTGGCCATTCCTCGTCTCACATTTTAGTATGACATTCATGCTACACACAGCTACAATAAAATACATAGACAGACAAATTTGTTTTACGTCGTATCACATGGATGAGGGAATCAAAGCCAGGGACACGAGGTGAATGACAAGCGTATCCCCTTGGAACATGTTGGGCCATGTAACAAGGCTGGGCAGGCCCTTAGCCGCCTTGAAAGCCACCAGCTTGGTGCGTTTTCCATTCCACTTCTTCACCTTCTCGCCCAGCACTGTGGTGTATGTCGTACCTGCAGAGTCATGCACAAAGTCCTTGTAGGGATGGTGCTCAGGGATCATGTTGTTTTTGCCGAGCATGGCAAAGTCCTGGGCGGTGTAGCCCGCAGAGTAGGCTGTGTACATGGTGTAGGGGTCGGTGGGGAGGAAAAGCGTGATGGGGCCCTTCTGGTTGATGGCCAGCAGCACTGCAAGAGGGAGAGGGTGGCGGGGGAAGGAAAGAGACAGAGGGATCATGTTGTTTTAGCCAAGAGTCGCAAAGTCTAGAAGGGTGTAAATATTTGAGTAGGACGTGTTGTGTAGGGGTCGGTGGGGAGGAAGAGCGTGATGGGGCCCTTCTGGTTGATGGCTAGAAGCACTGCCGAGGGGGGGACGAGAGCGGGAGAGGGAGAAGATCAGATGGGTGTTATGGCGTTTTGAATAAGAGTGGCGAAGTCTTGAGGGGTGTAGCCAGCAGAGTAGGCCGTGTACATGGTGTAGGGGTCGGTGGGGAGGAAGAGCGTGATGGGGCCGGGGAGCACGAGCGAAGGGAGAATGGGGGGAACTTAAACGGGAAACACGAGCGAAGGGAGAATGGGGGGAACTTAAACGGGAAACGAGCGGAATGCGAAAAAGAGATTAGGGGAGCGGGGCGTTGGGGGCTGGGAGGCGGCGGCGCAAGTTGTCGGTGGATTGAAGCGACGTGGATTCTTCTTGTGCTTCGCTGCTGCAGAGCGACCGCGCGAACGACCTCGCGAGGAACTTTGCTGTTCGGAGCGACTGGGCGGATGCGGCACTACCAGCACAGCGTTCAGTATGTGACTGTCACGTCCACGTGACGCTACACGGTACACCCGCACGCCCTTACGCGGTACGCGTGACGGTACACGGTACACGTAACGCTACACGGTACACGTAACGCTACACGGTAACCCGCCCGCCCTAAGCGGTACACGTGGCGGTACATGGACGCGTGGCGGTACACTAGCACGTACTAGACGGGAGCTAGCGCCCTGGCGGTGTGACAGCGACATTCGCGGGGTGCTTTCTCCTTCTTTGGCGGTGCCACGTCACACCCTGCCACGACGAATCCTGAAGTCTGCTTCTCATAGTACGGCGCCACCGCGGATGCGCATGAAGAAACCCTTCTGAGAGTCTATTAAAAAGGCGAGTTCGCCGTGGGTAGACGTAAGCGAAACGCTAATACTTACCGAACTTTTGAAAGAACTCTTTGAAGTTCAAACGCTGGAGGCGCGGGTTTCGCCGAATCTTCTGCAGCGCGACCCGCACGTCCTTTCGGCTCACCGCGACCGCGAGGGGGGAGAAGGAGCTGGCGAGGAGAAGCAGCAGGAAGGCAGCACCAACGACGACCTTCGATGACCGTCTTCCCGTCGCTGACGTCATGACGACGCGTCGCCGAGACCTTAGTATGATGAAATATGGTAGCTCGATAACAAAGCAGCTAAGTGAAGCCAGTTGTGTTTTTTGAGAAAGCCCCCCCTTCGTTCCGAAGACTCTGAAGCTCGAAGCGTGGGCGATTCTCGCTCAACCTGGTCGTCAATCTGCGCCGATTGAGTCCCGGAACAGCAAGGTCGCAACTTGCTCGAAGCAAGAGTGTTCGGACAGGCGCTTGATAAGCAGACTCTCATCTTAAAAAGTGGCGCGGGAGGGTGTCGAAGCGTCGCTTTTTAGGATTTGGGAACCACAAAGACGTTTTTTCGGGAAAAGTGGGTCCTGCTGCCATTGCCACTGATGCTCACCATCCACACAGCAGCACACAACACCCAGCCGAAATTCACACAGCCGAAATTGCTGGAGGCGGGGTTGTGAGGAGAGTTGCGGGGATGGGGTGGGAGGGTGGGAGGTTGGAGAATGGGGGGAGGGGTGAGTTTGGGATCTTAGGCGCGGGGCGCAATTGAGGCGGAAAACGTTCCGAACGAGGTGCAACGATTGGTGGATGGAGCAGCATTCAATTTGCATTTGCCCGATTGTGATGCGGGTGGAACTCTTTCCTGAAGCAGATACCAGAGGTATGGAGGCTGGTGCTAGGAGATCCAGAACGCTGTAGAAAATTTTATATGTGAGTTTGTTAAGTGGATTTAAAGCCTAGACACCCCGCAAAAGTCATACCTCATGGGGGAGCAGCTCTACGACTGAACGAGGTTTGGCCGTGCTGACAAGTGGTTTGGGTCAGGTGAAACGTGAAAAGTTACAGGTTCGGAACCTTCCAGAGACCAGAGGCTGGAAAGCCAAACCAGCCTAGGGATCGAGTCGCGAACAGGGTGAGGGCACACCGCACCGCCCTACTGGCGGCGAAATACTGTAGCTTCGGTGAGCCATTCAATCAGGTCGGCTGCAAATGGCTGCCCGAGGATGGAAAGGAGTTTGATCACCAATGGCCATCACCACGGTGGCACTGGGGATTTATTTTGGCGAATGAAAAACCTCATGCCAGATCAGAGGACAAAAAGTGAGATTTCTTACATAGTGTCACCTGTTTCTACGCAAAACCATGCCTTTTGGTTTAAAATAGGACGGTACAAACACTCTGAAAACAAAATGGAGATCTACTTCAACCATCATATAAACATTTCATACCAAAATCAACGTATTCCAAAAGCCTTTACACACACGCCCTCAATAAATTCCAACAAATACCAGACACAAACATGTCCCAACCCAACGTGTCTACTTGAGCAGCGACGCCTTGCCCTTGCTGGCCTCGCCAACCACCTGGCGGCCCTCAAAGAGCTGCCGAATTAGCCGCTCGATGTCCTCCGGCTGATACTTGACGTGCTTTGAGAGATTTTTCAATGCGTCCACCACCGGGCTGATGGGAGAGGGGGAGGAGGAAAGGGGGGGGGGGGGAGGGGGGGGGGGAAGAGAGGGGTTGGGGAGGTTTTGAGTCGACTCGGAACTCGTCTCGATGTCCTCCGGCTGGTACTTGACATGCTTTGAGAGGTTCTTCAATGCGTCTACCACCGGGCTGGGGTTAGAGGAAGGGGGGGAAAGGAGGGGGGGGGATTGGGGAGACGAGAGGGGAGGGGAGGGGAGGGGAGTGAGGTAGAGTGACCAGGTGGTGTTTGAAGTGCTCGGTGAGATTTCAAATGCGTCCATCAGAGATGGTGTTGGCATAATACAATGGACAATTTTCTTGAAGCATGACAAAGATGCAACATCGTGTGAAGGCGGTGAGGATCAATCACCCTTGCGACTGCAATTACCTTTGCTTTGTAGCAGCAACAACAGCATCACAGGCCATCCCTCACCACCGCTCAGCACCCCTGAGCACCCCTCACTCGAAGCAGCGGAGCATGTTGCGGTAGGCAGGCAGCACCTGGTCGATGACTGCCATTACCACCTTTTAGAAGCATAAGAGTCCCATCAGAACCCCTCATTACCCCAAGCACCCCTCAGCACCGCACAGGACCCCTGAGACCGCTCACCCGTAGCGCTTGAGCATGTCGCGGTAGGCAGGCAGCACCTGGTCGATGACAGACTGGCGCACCACCTTCTGTAGCTCCGCGTCTGGGATGGTCCACGTGAGCTGAGATAGAGGGGGCAGCAAGGGGGAGGTGCGGGAGGATGGGAATGGGGGTGGGTTTGAGGGGGGGGTGTTAGTGCATCACTGCACCTGGTCGATGACAGCCTGGCAACACCACCTTCTGTAGCTCCGCGTCCGGGATGGTCCATGTGAGCTGGTGACAGAAAAGGCGGTTAGAGACAGGGAAGGAAGTAAGTGTGTTCCAGCGCCTTGCAATGACAGCCTGGCGCACCACCTTCTGTAGCTCCGCGTCTGGTATAGTCCATGTGAGCTGGTATAGTCCATGTGAGCTGGTATAGTCCATGTGAGCTGGTATAGTCCATGTGAGCTGGTGGGGGCGAGGAGAGGAGAGGGAGAGGAAGAGGAGAGGGGAAGGCAAGACAAGACATATGATTTGCAACTCCCTCCTCCTAAGGTCAACCTCTCCTGGTGGTGCAGAGAAGAGAAGCAGCATGTGCGGCACAATGGCGAGGTGCACATTGCTTCTAAGACTGCTAAGCACACACACGTAAGGTTGCTTTCAATGTCTGCTGCGCATAGATGCGGTGACAATGTTACCGCAGTCTCACAGGGACCCAGGTGATCCGTAGCCTTTCTTACACCCACGCACCTGCTTGTTGTACTGCTCCTCAAAAGCAGCGTTGAAAACCTTCAGCCTGCTAAGATATGAGGGACACATGAGACCCACCCACCCACCCACCCACCCCCCCCCCCCCCCTCCCCCCCCACACGCACCTGCTTGTTGTACTGCTCCTCAAAAGCAGCGTTGAAAACCTTCAGCCTGCTAAGATATGAGGGACACATGAGACCCACCCACCCACCCACCCACCCCCCCCCCCCCCTCCCCCCCCACACGCACCTGCTTGTTGTACTGCTCCTCAAAAGCAGCGTTGAAAACCTTCAGCCTGCTAAGATATGAGGGACACATGAGACCCACCCACCCACCCACCCACCCCCCCCCCCCCTCCCCCCCCACACGCACCTGCTTGTTGTACTGCTCCTCAAAAGCAGCGTTGAAAACCTTCAGCCTGCTAAGATATGAGGGACACATGAGACCCACCCACACCCCCCCCTCCCCCCACACACGCACCTGCTTGTTGTATTGTTCCTCAAACGCAGCATTGAACACCTTCAGCCTGCCAAGTTAAGGCATCACACACATAAGGGCAGACCCGGGAGCAAGGAGGGGTGCGTGTGTGTGAAAGGTGGGGTTCAGGGCAGCGGACGCATGCAGACTAGTTTTGAGGCGCCTCAAAACTAGCCGTCAGCCTGCCAAGCTAAGGCATCACACACGCGAGGGCAGACCTGGGAGCAAGGAGGGTTGCATGTGTGTGAATGGTGGGGTTCAGGGCAGCGGATGCGTGCAGGCATGGAATGGCATCGTCACACGGGCAGTTATGTCGCCCCCACGTACCATGCCACTCTCCCCTTAAGCAAGAGACACCTCTCCTTCACCTTTTCTCACAGAGAAAAAACAGCAGCAGCCCAATCACTCCTTCCCCCCTTTCACTCAGCCCTGGCAGGTCAGCGAGCAGCAACAGCACCCCTCCTACCTCTCCTTGAGTGTGTTCTTGTTGATCAGCCCCCCCTGCGGACACAGCAGGTACAGCACCCCACTGACTGGCCCCACTGACTGACCCCACTGACTGGCCCCACTGACTGGCCCCACTGACTGGCCCCACTGACTGGCCCCACTGACTGGCCCCACTGACTGGTCACTGGCCCCACTGACTGGCCCCACTGACTGGCCCCACTGACTGGCCCCACTGACTGGCCCCACTGACTGGCCCCACTGACTGAGCCCACTGACTGACCCCACTGACTGACCCCACTCACCTCTCCTTGAGTGTGTTCTTGTTGATCACCTCCCCCTGCGGGCTCAGCACGGTCAGCACCTGGTGGGGGGCACAGTGCGCGGGGGGGAGAGCAGAGCACAAGGGTTTTGAGTTCGGGTTTAGGGCCCTACTTGAGCCTTGCTCACTGCAGCCTCAGCAAGCCCAGCACCTGGAGGGGGACACAGCGTGGGGGGGGGGGGGGGGGAGCAGAAGGGTTTCGGGTTTAGGGTTTAGCGCCTGAATAGAGCCTTGCTCAAGTGGGCTCAGCACGGTCAGCACCTGGTGAGTGGCACAGCGTGGGGAAAGGGAGACACCAGGGAGGGGGCGGATGGGGTGCGCTGGGATGGGATGGATGGCGCATGCTGGGATCTAGGTTGGCATAAACGTGTTTGGCGTATATACGCTAGCGTGTGAACGCTGAACGCTAGAGTGGTCAGATCCAGGATACGCATTTCTGGGCAGGGAAAAAAGTTTCCCGGGCAGGGTAAAAAACCCCTCCCGGGATTTGGTCCAGTGGGGTTTCATGCGGGATGTGTTTCTGTTTTTTTTTTTTCCCCATACTAAAATTAGCCATGCCATACAAATCCAGTTACGAGTCATACTACTCTCTCCCTACTATACCCACCCTCCTCCCCCCCCCACTTCGTTACCCTCTACTCATACTCGTCCTCCAAGATAGCGTCCTCATCCTCACCCTCCTCCTCCTCCTCCTCCTGCTCATCCAGCACATTGTAACCTTCGGGGATGGGGTGCTCCGACTCATTCCCACACACAACATTCGGCATCACATCCTTGCGCGTGTGCCAGTTGCGCACAACGTTCCAGTTGTGCGCAACAAACACCAAATCCGCACACTTGGCGGATCCTAAGCGGTTCCTGCGGGCAGTGTGGACGGACTCCCACGATGACCAGCCACGCTCACAGGGTGAAGCCGAGACGGGCTGCGAGAGAATCCGGATGGCGAGGGACGCAAGGCGAGGGGCATCTGTTCCGTTCCACTGCCACCACTTCACCATGCTGTATTTTCCCGCCTTCACCATCTCCCTTTGTGCCACAGCCTCTGCCATCCCGAAACTACCCTTCATGTCCAGGAAATCCCTCAGCCCGTCCCCCAGCTCAACCAAGTAATCGCAGGCCGCATCCCTCCCCTTCCCGTCGTGGCCGACGAGGAACTCTGCATGCTGGTGAAGAAACGCCTTGAAGACACGCGTGCATTCGGCGTCGCCGCCGAAAATGTCCTCTTCCTGGTTCACGGGGTTGAGGATGCGGCCTGCCACGTGCATGGCGCACGCGAGGCTCTCGTCCCACCGGTCTTTGAGGATGCGGCAGATCTGCTTCTTATCGCTGATGCACAACTGCTCCTCATCTGCGTCCACGAGAGCCTCAACGTCCTCCGCGAGTTGAAGCATCACGTCATAGATCTTGCCCATCATCCCTTTTGCCTCCCCGTCAGTCATGCACATCGCCTTGAAAGGGAGCTGCATCAGCTTGGTGAAAAACTCGGCAGTTTTCCACCACGCCGTGTCGAGTACCTGCGCGGCGAACTTCTCTGCAACCTCCTTGCGCGATCCAGCAGCCCACACCTTCCACTCGTCATTGACGACCATCTGCGTAAGGGTGGGGCGAAGCTGACAGAGACGGGAGATAGCAATGTATTGGGTCCCAAAGCGGGTCCCCGCGGGTTTCAACGGCTGCAACACCTTCCCCTCCACCAACTTACGGTCCCGCAAGTAACCGCGCGTCCAATGGTGGTTGCGGGTGAAGGAGCTCATCTCACCGCCACGGTCAACCACCTTTTTTGCCCACCCCATTTTTCCCACGTCCTCCATCATCAGGTCCATGACGTGGGTGGCACATGGAACCTGTTGAATGTGGGGCCACATCTTAATCAGCTTCCGGCACGCTGACGCGTAGTTGGAACCCCCGTCCATACAGAACGCGACGACGTTCTCGGGTCCGACTTCCTCCACGACGGGTTTCAGTATCCCCGCGATGTACCCCCCTGTTTTCTTCTCCATGTTGCAGTCCACACACTCCTTCAGGACAGCGCCCGCGTCGTTGACAAGGAGGACATTCGCCTGCGGCCTGCCACACTTGTCTATCATCATGTCGGACGCGATGGTAACACCTGTCTTCTTCCAGCTGGCCTTGATCCCCATCAAGCCGTTCTCAATACACTTGCGGCAAGCGAGCAGTCCGGCACCTCCGATGTACTTGCGACGTGGCGGAAGGTAGCCCTTCCCGGCGCGGGCGACCAGGTGCATAGAGTTGACGAAGAGCGGATGTTCGACCACGTTCTCCGGGAGGCGACATGCGGCAATCATGAGCGCAAGACCTTCATGTGCTTCACTTTTTGCCGCAGCAGCGTCGCCCTCGAGGTAGTCGGTCATGCGGGCCCGTTTGCCACCGGCTTTGACCGACGCTATAGCAACCAACACCGCTCGCTGTTTCTCTTCTTTCGCAGCAGCATGCGCCTCGTACTTCTTGCGGATCTCGAGGCGAACATCAGCAGGTGCCTTCCCGCAAAGCGCCACCTCGCGGCGCTTCATCTTCTTCCATGAGCTAAGGTGCTGAGCGCATCGGATGGCGGCACCTGAAAAGACCTTGAAGCAGTACTTGCACTCGTACTGCTGTGCCTTGCCCTCTTCGCGCTTGATGATACTGAAGTGCTTGAAGACGTCGTGGACTACATCGGGAAGGTACTCCCTGGTCCCTTCTGGACGAGGGATAGAACTCTCCACAGACTGATCGGAATGCGGCGTGAGAGGCGGACTGCTGGATGACATCGCACTGAGGCTAGTTGTTGGTAGCGGGAGAGGATTACTGAATGGGATGGACGTTCTGACGAGTTGATAAATAGCATGACGAGTGGCGGGGGATTGGGTCGGAAGGGTTGGACTGAATGAATGTTGTGGGTTTGAATGCGGTAACGTGTTGGGATAGAAATGTTCAAACATGCACATGCGACTCGATGTACGTGACCATCAATATGTCAACGTGCAACATGTGAAAGTGAAATCGCGACACCAGGACATGAATCCAATTTCCCGCAACCCTAGATCTCGGACGTGCAATCTGACGTCGCAGAATCACTCGCCGTGCCATTCCGCATCTTTTGGTGTGTTTGAAAATTTTTGGGTCGGGCGGGCTGCCCCCCAAAAAAATTGGGTTGCGTATAGCGTATTCGCTAGCGTTTCGCGTATTGCGTATACACGCTAGCGTTCAAACGCTGAACGCTAAGGCCCCTAAGCGTATATTCCAACTTAGGCTGGGATGGCGCACGCTGGGATGGCGCACGCTGGGATGGCGCATGCTGGGATGGCGCATGCTGGGATGGCGCATGCTGGGATGGCGCACGCTGGGATGGCGCATGCTGGGATGGCGCATGCTGGGATGGCGCATGCTGGGATGGCGCATGCTGGGATGACACATGCTGGGCTGGGATGGATGGAGTGGGCTGGGATGGATGGAGTGGGCTGGGATGGATGGAGTGGGCTGGGATGGATGGAGTGGGCTGGGTATCTCACTGCGCGCTTAGCATGCCCAGGGCGACACAACCAAGGAGGGGCGGGAAGGAGTGGCGCAGGCTGGGAGGGGCCTTCTGGTCCATATCCCACGATGATCCGTGGTGAAAACAGTGTCCCCTGATGCTGCTCTGCACTAGGACTCATGCACACTCTCTCTCTCGTCTCCCATGCCCTTCCCCCCCACACCCGTGTGATGAGACGATTTTTTAGTCGACTCAAAGATCGTCTCATCACACGCTGATGCTGCACTGCACTATGACCCATGCACACTCTCTCCTCTCCCATGCCCTTCCCCCCCACACCCGCCTCGCCCCTCACCTTGCTCCACGACAGTTCTGGAACATAGGGTGGTGCTACATGCACACTCTCTCGTCTCCCATGCCCTTCGCCCCCCCAACCCGCCTCCTCCCACCCACCTTGCTCCAAGCCAGTTTCTGGTACATGCCTGGTGCTGCATTATCTCTCATGTGACTCATGTATTATCTCTCATGTGACTCATGTATTATCTCTCATGTGACTCATGTATTATCTCTCATGTGACTCATGTATTATCTCTCATGTGACTCATGTATTATCTCTCATGTGACTCATGTATTATCTCTCATGTGACTCATGTATTCTCTCTCATGTGACTCATGTATTCTCTCTCATGTGACTCATGTATTCTCTCTCATGTGACTCATGTATTCTCTCTCATGTGACTCATGTATTCTCTCTCCTCCTCGCCTCACCCCCCTCCAACCCACCTTGCTCCACGCCAGCTTCTGGTGCATGGCCTGGTGCTGCTGCACTGCACAGTGACTCTCTCTTTCCATGCCCTCTCCCCTCACTCCCCTCATCCCTCACCTTGCTCCACGCCAGCTTCTGGTACATGGCTTGGTGCTGCTGCACGATCTTGCGATGCCGCTGGATCCACTCCTCCCCCACCAGCTGCCGCGCCTGCTCCGACCTGCAGGGGGGCAGGGGGAGGGGAGGGGGTAAAGGGGTGGCGGCATGGCAATACGGAGGGAGGAAACGTCATCACAGCAGCTGTATCCATTCCTCCCCCACCAGCTGCCGCGCCTGCTCCGACCTGCAGGGGGGGGGGGGGGGAGGGTAGGTGGGAGGGTGCATACAGAGGGGAGCAGTAGGGGGTGGCGACATGGCAATAAGGAAGGAGAAACGTCATCACACCACAGCAGCTGCTGCGCTTGCCCCGACCTGCAGGGGGGGCGGCAATAAGAAGAGAAAAGGGGGGAGCAGGACGGAGACGAGGTTGAAGGAGAAAGGACAGAAAAAGGAATTCTATTTTCTCATGTGAAACGGGGGGAGCAGTGACAGCAACAACCTGTTCACTGGAAATAGGACCAGCTTGGCACGCGGCTACAACGTGACTTCTGAGTCACCTTTGACTCAAAGGTCACCTGGAAATAGGAACAGCTTGGCTGGCACGTGGCTACAGTTCAGTTGCTCGTACCATTTCATGTGTGAAGCTCTTTCGCCTCCAGTGAAGGCACCGGCACAGCATTACCAACCAACCACCACTCCGTACCACACTGGATGCAGCAGAGGCACAGCATTACTGGCCGCTCCACGCACCTGTGAATCGACGGCCCACTGCTGTGCACTGGTTGCTTGCCATCCCCCCACTCACTCACTCACTCGCGAATGGAGCGCACGATGTAGTGCTTGTTGTTCATGAGAAACAGCTGTGTGAGCGCCAGGTCCCTGCACCACACTGCACCAACGAATGCAATGCAGTGCAGTGCGGTGCAGTGCAGTGCCTCCCGCTCTCTCAGCACTCACTTGCGGATGGAGCGCACGATGTAGTGCTTGTTGTTCATGAGGAAGAGCTGTGTGAGCGCGAGGTCCTTGTACAGCTTGGCCTTGGCCTCCAAGTTGCTCTCCAGCACTGTCAGGATGCGCAGCGTCGCCACCTCCAGCCTCGGCTTCTGCCGTGCTGACGGGTCCCCACCTTGCCAGTCCTTCTCGCCTCTTTCTTTCTCTGCCTCCTCGAAGAGCTGTCGCAGCGTCCCTTCATAACTGGGAGATGGGGGAAAGAGAGGAGGTGGGGAGAAGCGAGGGAAAAAAGCGATGAAAAGAGAAGAGAAGGACAGGGGACAGAGGTCTTGAAAGGTGTGAGAGTTGCTCCCGAAGCACGCCCCTTTATGCACACCCCCTTGGCCTCCAGGTTGCTCTCCAGCACTGTCAGGATGCGCAGCGTCGCCACCTCCAGCCGCGGCTTCTGGCGGATGGGTCCCCGCCCTGCCAGTCCTTTTCACCTCGCTCCTTCTCTGCTTCCTCAAAGAGTTGGCGTAATGTGCCTTCGTAACTGGGGGATGGAAGAGAGAGGAGGGAGTGAGGAGCGCGGGAGAACGAGATGATGAAGCTGGTGAACGGGTGCACGGCGCGTTGGGGGATGCACACAGTGTGAACCACAGAGCCGCACATCACCGCACAGAACCTCACAGAACCTCAGAGAACCAGGCAGTACACACTCGAAGAGGAACTTGATGTAGCTGATGACATAGCCAGTGAGCGGGTGCATGGTGCCTTGGGGATGCACAGCGTCACCTACACAACCGCACATCACCTTACATCACCGCACAGAAGCATACGCACTCGAACAGAAACTTGACGTAGTTGATGACGTAGCTGGTGAGCGGATGCACGGTCCCGTCAGCGACAGGCGTGCGCGTGCTGTCCTTCTCCACCGCGTCCTCAAACTCGCTGAACGTGTCCCGACTGATCTCCGCCAAGCTGCGTTGAAGGGAGCGCAGGTACTCCCGACACGGGATGCACGCGTTGCCCGGGAAGGCGTCAATCACCTGGAGGAGGAAAAAAGGGGAGGAGGAAAAAAGGGGAGGGGGAAAAGGGGAGACATGAACGGGGAAGGGGGAAAATGTGAATACATCTTTGCTGATCTCTGCAGCCAGAGCAGAGCAGGTACCCGCGCCACAGGATGCACGCGTTGCCGGGGAAGGCGTCAACTACCTGGAGGAGGAAAGGAACGGAGGGGGGGTGGGGGGGAATGTGGGGAATGGGGAGGAGGGTGGTGGGGAAGGTGGCAAGGAATGGAGGGAAAGGGGCACAGAGGGCGGGGGGCCTGCCAACCAGACTGCGTTGAAAGGGGCAGGGCACAGGTAATCGAGACATGCATGCAACTTTTGAGACGTCTCAAACGCTGCCAGACTGAGTTGGAAGGGGCAGGGCACAGGTAATCGAGACATGCACGTGCTGGCTGGGAAGGCGTCAATCATCTAGAGAGGGGGGAAGAGGGGGGAGGATGGGGGTGGAGGTAAGGAGCGGGCGGATAGGGGCACGATTAGATTCAGGTGGGAGATACGAAGAGCATGCGGGGAGAGGGAGACTCACCATGGGCATGGAGTCTCACCATGGGCATGGAGTCTCACCATGGGCATGGAGTCTCACCATGGGCATGGAGTCTCACCATGGGCATGGAGTCTCACCATGGGCATGGAGTCTCACCGTGGGCATGGAGTCTCACCATGGGCATGGAGTCTCACCATGGGCATGGAGTCGCGGATGGTCTCGTACATGTCGAGCAGCACAAAGAGCTTTTCGGGCGACTTCTGGCTGGACGCGATGGCCTCGCCGAAGGAGAGCAGCAGGGAGAGGCCGCGGTCGCCCATCTCGGCGTACGAGATCTCCCTGTGCGGGTCCAGCCCCGCAAACACCTGGTAGCACAGCTCCCGCTCCAATGGGAACACCAGCATCATCTGGGAGTAGGTGGGGAGAGGGGAGAGGGGGGGGGTGCGAAAGGGGATGGGGATGACGAGGGGTCTGTGTGCGGGTCCAGGCCTGCGAACACATGCTAGCATAGCTCCTGTTCTAGCGGGAACAAGAGCATCATCTGTGGGGAAGGGGTGGGCGGTGGGGAACAGGACGAGGGGAAGCAGGGAGGAGGAAAGAAGTGAGTGGTGTGGTGGGACAGCAGGCAGCAGCAGCAGCAAGGAGAGCAGCAGGGAGAGGCTGCGGTCGGCCATCTCTGCTTAGGAGCTCTGTCAGCGGACATGCATAGCATATGGGCCTACTCTCGCGTCAAGTATGGCCCACTCACACACATCTTGATGGCCCACTCACACACATCTTCATGAACCACTCACGCAGATCTTGATGAATTGGATCCAGTTGCCGATCTTGGTCTCCAGCTCCTCCCACTGCATGCGCAGCACGTCGTCCCGCGTCACCATCTCCACGCCCAGCCGCTTCAACGACTGCTCCAACGAGTTGCCTCGCACCTCCCTGGGAGTGGGGAGGCAAGGACAGGGGGAAGGGGGGAGGGCAGGAAGGGGAGAAGGAGGTTGGAAAGGGGGGGAGGGAGCGGGGGAATGGAAGAGGCGGCACGTCGTCCTGCGTCACCATCTCCACGCCCAGCCGCTTTAACGACTGCTCCAACGAGTTGCCTCGCACCTCCCTGCAAGGAGGGAAGGTAGATAGAGGGGGAGGGGAGGAACGAAGGAAAAGGGGGCGATGGGAGGGGGGAAAGAGGGAAATGGATGGGGGGAGGATCAGAAAAGGAAGAAAGAGGGAGCCTCTATCTACTCCCTTGCATTGCATCCCTTGTTGGTCCCAACACTTCCTGTGGCCTCAACCACACGACTTTCATGCTCCCATCTTCCTTGCATCCATCCGCCCCGCACACAACCGCCCACGCTTCTTGCCCATCCACACCGCACTCAACCACCCAGGCCTCTCTCGCCCATCCCACACCGAACTTTACCCACCCACCTGTACACGCGCGTGCACACCGAGGCTGCCCCGTTCTGAATCATCCTCCTCGCCACCGCATTCAACCGCTCTATGAGCGTGGGCAGCAGCAACACGGGCGGCCCCTTGCCGCCCTTGCTGGGCCCGATGCCCGGAATGAGATTCTCCGGCGTCTGTGCCGGCGGGGGCAGCCCCGCCAGGTCAATCCCCAGCTCTGGCATGGCCTCGATGATCTTCAACACGTCCATGGGCTTGCTGCACCGGGGAGGGGAGTGGGGGGTTGAGCATGGGAGAAGAGGAACAGCAGGTGGAGACACATGAGGACAGCCCCGCCAGGTCTATTCCCAGATCTGGCATTACCTCTGTCATGTTCAACACGTCCATGGGCTTGCTGCACGTGTGGGGGGGGTGGGGGGGAATGGGGAGCGGCTGGGAGAGGGATCAGGAGGGGGCAGGCAGCCCCACCAGGTCGATCCCCACCAGGTCGATCCCCACCAGGTCGATCCCCACCAGGTCGATCCCCACCCCAGCTCTGGCATGCATCGCCTCGATGATCTTCAACACGACCATGGGCTTGCTGAGGTGCGGTGTTGGAGGCAGAAGGGCGAGGGGGGAGGGGGAGGTGAAGGGCGAGTGGGACAAGGTGAGGTGAGGGATGAAAAGGAGGTGGCGGCCCCGCCAGGTCGATCCCCAGCTCTGGAAAAAGGGGGGGGTGGAGAGGGGATGAGGGGTTAGCATGGAGAAAGGAGGGGCCGCAGGTGAAGGGGCATGAGTGCCCAGCCCCGCCCCCTTGAGGTGTATTGTATCCCCTTGAGGTGTATTGTATCCCCTTGAGGTGTATTGTATCCCCTTGAGGTGTATTGTATCCCCTTGAGGTGTATTGTATCCCCTTGAGGTGTATTGTATCCCCTTGAGGTGTATTGTATCCCCTTGAGGTGTATTGTATCCCTTGAGGTGTATTGTATCCCCTTGAGGTGTATTGTATCCCCTTGAGGTGTATTGTATCCCCTTGAGGTGTATGTATCCCCTTGAGGTGTATTGTATCCCCTTGAGGTGTATTGTATCCCTTGAGGTGTATTGTATCCCCTTGAGGTGTATTGTATCCCCTTGAGGTGTATTGTATCCCCTTGAGGTGTATTGTATCCCCTTGAGGTGTATTGTATCCCCTTGAGGTGTATTGTATCCCCTTGAGGTGTATTGTATCCCCTTGAGGTGTATTGTATCCCCTTGAGGTGTATTGTATCCCCTTGAGGTGTATTGTATCCCTTGAGGTGTATTGTATCCCCTTGAGGTGTATTGTATCCCCTTGAGGTGTATTGTATCCCCTTGAGGTGTATTGTATCCCCTTGAGGTGTATTGTATCCCCTTGAGGTGTATTGTATCCCCTTGAGGTGTATTGTATCCCCTTGAGGTGTATTGTATCCCCTTGAGGTGTATTGTATCCCCTTGAGGTGTATTGTATCCCCTTGAGGTGTATTGTATCCCCTTGAGGTGTATTGTATCCCCTTGAGGTGTATTGTATCCCCTTGAGGTGTATTGTATCCCCTTGAGGTGTATTGTATCCCCTTGAGGTGTATTGTATCCCCTTGAGGTGTATTGTATCCCCTTGAGGTGTATTGTATCCCCTTGAGGTGTATTGTATCCCCTTGAGGTGTATTGTATCCCCTTGAGGTGTATTGTATCCCCTTGAGGTGTATTGTATCCCCTTGAGGTGTATTGTATCCCCTTGAGGTGTATTGTATCCCCTTGAGGTGTATTGTATCCCCTTGAGGTGTATTGTATCCCCTTGAGGTGTATTGTATCCCCTTGAGGTGTATTGTATCCCCTTGAGGTGTATTGTATCCCCTTGAGGTGTATTGTATCCCCTTGAGGTGTATTGTATCCCCTTGAGGTGTATTGTATCCCCTTGAGGTGTATTGTATCCCCTTGAGGTGTATTGTATCCCCTTGAGGTGTATTGTATCCCCTTGAGGTGTATTGTATCCCCTTGAGGTGTATTGTATCCCCTTGAGGTGTATTGTATCCCCTTGAGGTGTATTGTATCCCCTTGAGGTGTATTGTATCCCCTTGAGGTGTATTGTATCCCCTTGAGGTGTATTGTATCCCCTTGAGGTGTATTGTATCCCCTTGAGGTGTATTGTATCCCCTTGAGGTGTATTGTATCCCTTGAGGTGTATTGTATCCCCTTGAGGTGTATTGTATCCCCTTGAGGTGTATTGTATCCCCTTGAGGTGTATTGTATCCCCTTGAGGTGTATTGTATCCCCTTGAGGTGTATTGTATCCCCTTGAGGTGTATTGTATCCCCTTGAGGTGTATTGTATCCCCTTGAGGTGTATTGTATCCCCTTGAGGTGTATTGTATCCCCTTGAGGTGTATTGTATCCCCTTGAGGTGTATTGTATCCCCTTGAGGTGTATTGTATCCCCTTGAGGTGTATTGTATCCCCTTGAGGTGTATTGTATCCCCTTGAGGTGTATTGTATCCCCTTGAGGTGTATTGTATCCCCTTGAGGTGTATTGTATCCCCTTGAGGTGTATTGTATCCCCTTGAGGTGTATTGTATCCCCTTGAGGTGTATTGTATCCCCTTGAGGTGTATTGTATCCCCTTGAGGTGTATTGTATCCCCTTGAGGTGTATTGTATCCCCTTGAGGTGTATTGTATCCCCTTGAGGTGTATTGTATCCCCTTGAGGTGTATTGTATCCCCTTGAGGTGTATTGTATCCCCTTGAGGTGTATTGTATCCCCTTGAGGTGTATTGTATCCCCTTGAGGTGTATTGTATCCCCTTGAGGTGTATTGTATCCCCTTGAGGTGTATTGTATCCCCTTGAGGTGTATTGTATCCCCTTGAGGTGTATTGTATCCCCTTGAGGTGTATTGTATCCCCTTGAGGTGTATTGTATCCCCTTGAGGTGTATTGTATCCCCTTGAGGTGTATTGTATCCCCTTGAGGTGTATTGTATCCCCTTGAGGTGTATTGTATCCCCTTGAGGTGTATTGTATCCCCTTGAGGTGTATTGTATCCCCTTGAGGTGTATTGTATCCCCTTGAGGTGTATTGTATCCCCTTGAGGTGTATTGTATCCCCTTGAGGTGTATTGTATCCCCTTGAGGTGTATTGTATCCCCTTGAGGTGTATTGTATCCCCTTGAGGTGTATTGTATCCCCTTGAGGTGTATTGTATCCCCTTGAGGTGTATTGTATCCCCTTGAGGTGTATTGTATCCCCTTGAGGTGTATTGTATCCCCTTGAGGTGTATTGTATCCCCTTGAGGTGTATTGTATCCCCTTGAGGTGTATTGTATCCCCTTGAGGTGTATTGTATCCCCTTGAGGTGTATTGTATCCCCTTGAGGTGTATTGTATCCCCTTGAGGTGTATTGTATCCCCTTGAGGTGTATTGTATCCCCTTGAGGTGTATTGTATCCCCTTGAGGTGTATTGTATCCCCTTGAGGTGTATTGTATCCCCTTGAGGTGTATTGTATCCCCTTGAGGTGTATTGTATCCCTTGAGGTGTATTGTATCCCCTTGAGGTGTATTGTATCCCCTTGAGGTGTATTGTATCCCCTTGAGGTGTATTGTATCCCCTTGAGGTGTATTGTATCCCCTTGAGGTGTATTGTATCCCCTTGAGGTGTATTGTATCCCCTTGAGGTGTATTGTATCCCCTTGAGGTGTATTGTATCCCCTTGAGGTGTATTGTATCCCCTTGAGGTGTATTGTATCCCCTTGAGGTGTATTGTATCCCCTTGAGGTGTATTGTATCCCCTTGAGGTGTATTGTATCCCCTTGAGGTGTATTGTATCCCCTTGAGGTGTATTGTATCCCCTTGAGGTGTATTGTATCCCTTGAGGTGTATTGTATCCCCTTGAGGTGTATTGTATCCCCTTGAGGTGTATTGTATCCCCTTGAGGTGTATTGTATCCCCTTGAGGTGTATTGTATCCCCTTGAGGTGTATTGTATCCCCTTGAGGTGTATTGTATCCCCTTGAGGTGTATTGTATCCCCTTGAGGTGTATTGTATCCCCTTGAGGTGTATTGTATCCCCTTGAGGTGTATTGTATCCCCTTGAGGTGTATTGTATCCCCTTGAGGTGTATTGTATCCCCTTGAGGTGTATTGTATCCCCTTGAGGTGTATTGTATCCCCTTGAGGTGTATTGTATCCCCTTGAGGTGTATTGTATCCCCTTGAGGTGTATTGTATCCCTTGAGGTGTATTGTATCCCCTTGAGGTGTATTGTATCCCCTTGAGGTGTATTGTATCCCCTTGAGGTGTATTGTATCCCCTTGAGGTGTATTGTATCCCCTTGAGGTGTATTGTATCCCCTTGAGGTGTATTGTATCCCCTTGAGGTGTATTGTATCCCCTTGAGGTGTATTGTATCCCCTTGAGGTGTATTGTATCCCCTTGAGGTGTATTGTATCCCCTTGAGGTGTATTGTATCCCCTTGAGGTGTATTGTATCCCCTTGAGGTGTATTGTATCCCCTTGAGGTGTATTGTATCCCCTTGAGGTGTATTGTATCCCCTTGAGGTGTATTGTATCCCCTTGAGGTGTATTGTATCCCCTTGAGGTGTATTGTATCCCCTTGAGGTGTATTGTATCCCCTTGAGGTGTATTGTATCCCCTTGAGGTGTATTGTATCCCCTTGAGGTGTATTGTATCCCCTTGAGGTGTATTGTATCCCCTTGAGGTGTATTGTATCCCCTTGAGGTGTATTGTATCCCCTTGAGGTGTATTGTATCCCCTTGAGGTGTATTGTATCCCCTTGAGGTGTATTGTATCCCCTTGAGGTGTATTGTATCCCCTTGAGGTGTATTGTATCCCCTTGAGGTGTATTGTATCCCCTTGAGGTGTATTGTATCCCCTTGAGGTGTATTGTATCCCCTTGAGGTGTATTGTATCCCCTTGAGGTGTATTGTATCCCCTTGAGGTGTATTGTATCCCCTTGAGGTGTATTGTATCCCCTTGAGGTGTATTGTATCCCCTTGAGGTGTATTGTATCCCCTTGAGGTGTACTGTATCCCCTTGAGGTGTATTGTATCCCCTTGAGGTGTATTGTATCCCCTTGAGGTGTATTGTATCCCCTTGAGGTGTATTGTATCCCCTTGAGGTGTATTGTATCCCCTTGAGGTGTATTGTATCCCCTTGAGGTGTATTGTATCCCCTTGAGGTGTATTGTATCCCCTTGAGGTGTATTGTATCCCCTTGAGGTGTATTGTATCCCCTTGAGGTGTATTGTATCCCCTTGAGGTGTATTGTATCCCCTTGAGGTGTATTGTATCCCCTTGAGGTGTATTGTATCCCCTTGAGGTGTATTGTATCCCCTTGAGGTGTATTGTATTGTATCCCCTTGAGGTGTATTGTATCCCCTTGAGGTGTATTGTATCCCCTTGAGGTGTATTGTATCCCCTTGAGGTGTATTGTATCCCCTTGAGGTGTATTGTATCCCCTTGAGGTGTATTGTATCCCCTTGAGGTGTATTGTATCCCCTTGAGGTGTATTGTATCCCCTTGAGGTGTATTGTATCCCCTTGAGGTGTATTGTATCCCCTTGAGGTGTATTGTATCCCCTTGAGGTGTATTGTATCCCCTTGAGGTGTATTGTATCCCCTTGAGGTGTATTGTATCCCCTTGAGGTGTATTGTATCCCCTTGAGGTGTATTGTATCCCCTTGAGGTGTATTGTATCCCCTTGAGGTGTATTGTATCCCCTTGAGGTGTATTGTATCCCCTTGAGGTGTATTGTATCCCCTTGAGGTGTATTGTATCCCCGAGGTGTATTGTATCCCCTTGAGGTGTATTGTATCCCCTTGAGGTGTATTGTATCCCCTTGAGGTGTATTGTATCCCCTTGAGGTGTATTGTATCCCCTTGAGGTGTATTGTATCCCCTTGAGGTGTATTGTATCCCCTTGAGGTGTATTGTATCCCCTTGAGGTGTATTGTATCCCCTTGAGGTGTATTGTATCCCCTTGAGGTGTATTGTATCCCCTTGAGGTGTATTGTATCCCCTTGAGGTGTATTGTATCCCCTTGAGGTGTATTGTATCCCCTTGAGGTGTATTGTATCCCCTTGAGGTGTATTGTATCCCCTTGAGGTGTATTGTATCCCCTTGAGGTGTATTGTATCCCCTTGAGGTGTATTGTATCCCCTTGAGGTGTATTGTATCCCCTTGAGGTGTATTGTATCCCCTTGAGGTGTATTGTATCCCCTTGAGGTGTATTGTATCCCCTTGAGGTGTATTGTATCCCCTTGAGGTGTATTGTATCCCCTTGAGGTGTATTGTATCCCCTTGAGGTGTATTGTATCCCCTTGAGGTGTATTGTATCCCCTTGCGGTGTATTGTATCCCCTTGAGGTGTATTGTATCCCCTTGAGGTGTATTGTATCCCCTTGAGGTGTATTGTATCCCCTTGAGGTGTATTGTATCCCCTTGAGGTGTATTGTATCCCCTTGAGGTGTATTGTATCCCCTTGAGGTGTATTGTATCCCCTTGAGGTGTATTGTATCCCCTTGAGGTGTATTGTATCCCCTTGAGGTGTATTGTATCCCCTTGAGGTGTATTGTATCCCCTTGAGGTGTATTGTATCCCCTTGAGGTGTATTGTATCCCCTTGAGGTGTATTGTATCCCCTTGCGGTGTATTGTATCCCCTTGAGGTGTATTGTATCCCCTTGAGGTGTATTGTATCCCCTTGAGGTGTATTGTATCCCCTTGAGGTGTATTGTATCCCCTTGAGGTGTATTGTATCCCCTTGAGGTGTATTGTATCCCCTTGAGGTGTATTGTATCCCCTTGAGGTGTATTGTATCCCCTTGAGGTGTATTGTATCCCCTTGAGGTGTATTGTATCCCCTTGAGGTGTATTGTATCCCCTTGCGGTGTATTGTATCCCCTTGAGGTGTATTGTATCCCCTTGAGGTGTATTGTATCCCCTTGAGGTGTATTGTATCCCCTTGAGGTGTATTGTATCCCCTTGAGGTGTATTGTATCCCCTTGAGGTGTATTGTATCCCCTTGAGGTGTATTGTATCCCCGGCTCTGGCATGGCCTCTATTATCCTCAACACGTCCATGGGCTTGCTGTTGTGGGGTGTGAAGGGGGGGGATGGGGACGAGACATGCAACGAGGAAGGGGTCGGTGGGGGTTGGGTAGGTGGTGGTAAGAAGAGGATAGGATAGGATGACGTGGGAAGGGACAGGGAGGTGATGCGAGACAGGTGAGTGTGGGTTTGAATGAGCCTGTCGTCCCATCCCATGCACCTGTTGTATCACCGCCGCCCTGCACTGCCCCGCTACTACACAACACGCGCCCACCTGTTATTGGCCAGCAGCTGCCTAAAGTCAGCCTCCGGCATGCCCATCGCCTCCCTCACCAGCCCACACGCCTGCAGAGCAGCGCCTCGGCCTCTGCCTCCTGCTGTCACTTCCTCTATTGTCACACAATTGCTACATTCACTCGCGCTCACCTGTTGTTGGCGAGCAGCTGGCGGAAGTCAGCTTCAAGCATGCCCATGGCCTCCTTCATGAGCCCACGCGCCTGCAGAGCAGCGCCCTCTGACGACTTGTAGTTGCGGTGCGAGTCAAAGAACAGCAGCGCCTCCTGCAGCATGTCCACCGCTGCTAGGTACGCTTCCAAGTCTCGCCGAGGGCCGTCTTTGATCCGTTGTTCCACCTGCGAGTACGAGCGCGAGGTGACGCATATGGGTGGGTTGAGAGGACGCAGAAGACTCGTAGTTGCCGCGCGAGTCGAGGAAGACAAGTGCCTCCTGCAGTGCAGCATGTCCGCCACTGCAAGGCACTGTTTCTGAGACAGTCTGCTGCAAGGCACTGTTTCTGAGACAGTCTGCTGCAAGGCACTGTTTCTGAGACAGTCTGCTGCAAGGCACTGTTTCTGAGACAGTCTGCTGCAAGGCACTGTTTCTGAGACAGTCTGCTGCAAGGCACTGTTTCTGAGACAGTCTGCTGCAAGGCACTGTTTCTGAGACAGTCTGCTGCAAGGTACTGTTTCTGAGACAGTCTGCTGCAAGGCACTGTTTCTGAGACAGTCTGCTGCAAGGCACTGTTTCTGAGACAGTCTGCTGCAAGGCACTGTTTCTGAGACAGTCTGCTGCAAGGCACTGTTTCTGAGACAGTCTGCTGCAAGGCACTGTTTCTGAGACAGTCTGCTGCAAGGCACTGTTTCTGAGACAGTCTGCTGCAAGGCACTGTTTCTGAGACAGTCTGCTGCAAGGCACTGTTTCTGAGACAGTCTGCTGCAAGGCACTGTTTCTGAGACAGTCTGCTGCAAGGCACTGTTTCTGAGACAGTCTGCTGCTGCTAGGTTCGCTTCGCAGAGCCCCTGGCTGCAGCGAGGTGCGCTTGCTTGCAGGGCAGGGCGTGCGGTGGACCGTCCGTGCTGCATTGCTGCACTGCACTGCCGCTGCTCCTTGACTGTCCTAGCAGCCCGCCGCCCCTCCTGCCACCGTCTCACACACCGCCCCACCTGCTGCTAGACTGGACTGGACCCAGCAGCCCACCAACCCATCCCACCTGCCCACCAGCATGCATACCATACCATCCCAGCATGCTCTGCCCGGACTGATCCCGCACCGTCTCCACGCCGCTGAGAACACCAGCATACCCAAACCACGTATACAGGTTGGGACCGTTTCACACACCGCCCCACCTACAGGCAGCCCGCCCTTCTAACCTGCTACTCCCCCCACCCGCTCATACACCCCCCAAGTGTCAAACCTGTGGGATGTCGAACTTGTCCAGCATTGTCTCCACGGCGCGGATGGTGGCGTCGCTGCTTCACTGCTGCAATCTGTCTGTACCATGTATACTCCTCCCCCCCCCCCCCCAACCTTCCACCTGCTGCGGGATGTCGAACTTGTCCAGCACCGTCTCCAGAGTGCTGCCCTGGTGCTGTCTGTACCTACCGTACCATGCATGTTGCCCCACCTGCTGCCATCTCTCCCCCCACCCCCACCTGCTGCGGGATGTCGAACTTATCCAGCACCGTCTCCACCGCGCGGATGGTGGCGTCGATGTTGGCGTGCGCCTTGCGGAAGGCCAGAGTGCGCGCCTGGAGAGGGTGGGGGGAAGGGGGGAGGAAGAGGGAAGGGGAGAGGGAGGAATGGGGGGTGGGGTGCAAACGAGGACTAAAGCGGTGGCGTCGATGTTGGCGTGCGCCTGGGGGAGGGGAGGGCGGGGGCAAAGGAAGCGGCGGGAAAGGGTGATGGGTGAGATGGGTGCAACCGAGCACCGAAGAGGATGGTGGCGCCCATGTTGGCGTGCGCCTTGCACACCGCCAGCGTGCGCGCTTGCCCCATGGGGGGTTGGAGGACGGGAGGGGTGGGGCGAGGATGGGGCCTCCGCATTTGAGAGGACGCGGCCAGCTTAGGGTAAGGGGATCTGTTACAGGTACGAGAATGGGTGGATGGTGGCAGGGTCTTTAGAGCAATTTACATACAGCAACGCGTTGTTGTACGCAGGCAATATCACTTGCTAGCTACCCGTACCTCACGCTCTCATGAGCCATGCGATCGTCCCTGTGTAACACAATCCTCACTCGCACCAGCATGCGACACAGTGCGACCCGCATGCGACAGCGTTCGCACCTGGATGGGTCGCATGGCGGTTTCGAGGTTGGTGAGGCGCGCGTCGAAGGTGTTGAGAATGGTGATCATCTCCTCGCTCACCGCCTTGCTCTTCCCCAACACCTCGCGCAACTGCCCCGCCTGTGTGTTCAGCCGCCGCACCTCCGCCGCGGAGATCACCACGCGCCGCCGCGCCGGCTTTGTGACCGTTGACGGCGCCGCTGGGGACTCGTGGTGGTCGTCGTCGCGCCGCGCCTGATGATGCTGGCGCGCCGCGGCGCGGTTTGACGCGGGGTTGCCACCGCGATTCATGGTTGCCGTGTCGCGGTGGTAGGAACCTTCAGGGTTAGTTAAGGACTTAACGCCTGACGCGCGCGGAATGCCTTGTTCGTCCTTCCTAGTGGCTGTAGGTACTGCGGCTCCCGGTCGCAACAGGTTTCGCTTTAGCAAAACTCGTCAAGAACAAAAAAACGGCGCTGCGAGAGCACCAATTCGCCAAAAATGCTCTTTCTTTAGTCCACTAACGCACGATGTAGGGTAGCTGATAGTCCAATAGTAAGTTACTGCAACGAACGTAGGATGATGCCACGGCGGTACGACGCGCGAAACCGGGGTCACGTTTAAATACAATTTATCTAACTACTGCGTTATGAACTAGCGCGACTTGGAGATTAGCTAGGACTAGTCAATTTGGCCGTTCACGCGCAGGTCAACTGGCTGTTCGTGCTGCTCCGTCACACTCGCACCACACCAGTTTAGCAGCAATAGCATTACTGTAGCAATTGTTGCGAGACCGCACGACCATCTTGCGAGATGATGGTTCCATCCATACAAGTACAGCTCACTCACTGGGAAACTGGAAACTTACTCGAGGCGAACAATGGGCGACTTTCTGCACCGGGTTACCCGAAGGTCAAGGGTTATAGCCACCTTTATCCATTGAAAATGCAGTATACTGAGAGTACCAGGGTTGCAAAACTGACTTCTAACTTATTATACTAATTGGCAAATAAAATGGCAAAACCGCATACCAGTATAATAGACCCTTCATTGGGTTTCTTTTGGTACGGTATTGTCAGGATGAGAACTACAGCGGAATGCGTTGTGTTGACAGAATTGGGGTACATCACCTAACCCTAACTAGTTTTACCCCATATAGCCCAACCCACTACAGGCTATAATATTTGACACACCCCCATAGCCTAAGTGGGGAAGGCCAATCAACAACAAGCAACCTACGGTCACAAGACCAGTCAAAAACAAAAGAAAGAAAACAAAGCTCAGGGTGGATCACAACGTCACCACCTAATCTGAGCACAAGCAAAGGGCCACAAGGCCAGTCCAAAAGTGTGCAAACAAATATATATATATAAGGTACAAGCAAGCAACAGACAAAGAGCACCCTACAGCAGTCAACTAGACCCAGTCTCAACGAGGCCTAACTACAGACAAAACCGACGGTGGTCACAAGGCTGGAGGGCCTTGGTGAAGATGTCTGCAGTGTTGGCCTCGGAGGCCACAAAGTCCAGACGAGCCTGTCCGCGTCTCTGCAACTCTCGAAGGAGGAAGTACCTGACGTCGATGTGCTTCACTCGGCTCTCCAGTCGAGGCTCACGACACAGGAGAATCATCGCCCCGTTGTCAGCAAACAGGGTCGGTGCAGAGCTCGGCCGCTCACCAAGGTCAGTGAGCAAAAAGGTCAACCAGCGTAGCTCCTGAGCAGCAAGGGCCCCAGCGTAGATCTCGACCTCTGCGGTAGAAGTCGCAACAGAGGAGGACCGAGTAGACCTCCACGAAACAGCTCCAGAACCCAGGCTGAAACAGTAACCCTGCGTAGACCTCTGAGTCTCAACGTCGTCAGCGTAGGAAGAGTCAGAGTGACCGGTGAGTACAACTGGCTGTGTCCCTCCAAGTACAAGCCCCATGCCTGATGTCGCGCCAAGGTACTTCGCCACCCTCTTAGCCGCCGCCCAGTGAACAGGACGGTGTCTCCCAGTCGCAACAAAGCGAGACAGGATGCTAAGGGGGAAGGCGAGGTCCGGGCGAGTGCACGTCATCAGGTACATGAGGCAGCCCACCAGCTCTGCGTAGGGACCACTGGGCTCGAACGGCTCGTCGGGAAAAGGCCCAGTGAGTCTGTGGTCTACAGCAAGAGGAGAGGGGGCAGGAGAAGAGTCCTGGAGCCCGAACCGCTGAAGAACCTGCTGCACCATGTGTGACTGAGTGAGAGTGATGGTGCGAGCGGCTCTGTCCCTGGAGATCTGCAGGCCAAGGTAGCGGCGCAGTTCCCCAAGGTCAGTGCAGGTGTGTCTCTTCTGCAGTTCGGACTTCACCTCCGCCAGTGCAGCTGTGTCGGCCGTGGCAAAAACCAAGTCGTCAACGTAGACTAGGACGAAGAAAGGTGTACGGCCACGACGAACAAACAGCGACGGGTCGGCGGAAGACGGCTCAAACCCGAGGTCGGAGCGGAGAGTGTCGTGCCACTCACGGGGTGCCTGGCGGAGACCGTAGACCGGTCGTCTGAGGCTCCACTGGGTCCCAGGCGGGAAAGTGCCTGTGAAGCCCGGAGGACGACGCAGCCAGATCTCCTCGTGTAAGCAGCCCTGGAGGAAGGCAGTGGAGAAGTCAAGAGAGTGTAGCTCGTAGTCTCTCTGCGCTGCTACGTGCAGTAACACCCGAAGAGTGGTCATCTTCGGGGTGGGCGCGAAGGTCTGAAAGAAGTCAACCCCCTCGCGCTGACTGAACCCTCTAGCCACGTAGCGTGCCTTGAAGACTGGGGGAGATCCCGACGGCCGCTTCACCTTGAAGATCCACATGCCGTCAACAATGTTCGCCCCTGGGGGGGGAACCTCGTCAACGTAAGTGCCTGTGGACCTGTAGGAGGCCATCTCTGCGTCCATGGCAGCTCTCCACTGAGAGGCCCAAGGCCCTGACACTGCCTCAGCGTAAGTGCGAGGAGTAGGTATGTCAGGAGCGTCGGGGTCTCCCTCACGAGTGAGCAGCATGGCACAGAGATGAGGCGAAGCAGCTGCCAGGAACTCTAGCTCAAACTGTCTGTCCTCTAGGACGTCACAGCCAAGGGCACACACACCCCCGGCGGACAGAGGATGGACAGGAGGAGCTGCCACAACTCGAGTGGCGTAGTCAAGGCGACGCGTAGCAGTAAAGTCAGTGACAGCGGCAGTGAGGACCGCGACGGAGGAAGGAGAGGCACGAGGGTCTGTAACAAGAGAGGCAAGAACACGAGAGAGAGTGGGGCGGTACGTGCGGTAGTAGTCAGTGTCCGGAGTGGACATGGAGGCAGTGAGGGAAGACTCAGGAGGACGAGGAAGGACAAACGGAGGAGAAAGAGTAGGACGAGGACGAAACAACACGGTACGGAGGTCAGTGACAGGGGACGAGGGACGAGCACGAGGAGGGCGAGAGGCCCAAGTGTGGGCAAGAGGAGGGGGGGACGGAGGAGACTGAGAACGAGGGAAGACAGCCGGAGTGGAGTCCGGAGGAGGAAACGTGGGACCGAACACAGGAGGAGAGGAGGGGAGACCAAGGGCCCGAAGGCCAGAAACAGGGGCCGGAGGCTGCTCCGGCAGCTGCGGCGGCTGCTGTTGCTGCTGCTGCTGCTGCTGCTGCTGCTGTGGCTGTGGCTGCGGCTGCTGCTGCTGCTGCTGCTGCTGCTGCTGCTGCTGCTGAAACTCCAACCGCTCACGCTCCACCCGCTGCTGAACCTCCGACCTCTCACGCTCCAAACGCTGCTGCTCCTCACGCTCAAGACGACGAAGGGCCTGGTAACGAGTCGGGTAGGGGTGAGGAGGAGGAGTGGTGTCAGGAGACGACGAAGAAGAACCGGCTCCATCCTCGACAGGACCCGGCTGAGCACCCCCAGAGCGAGGAACCCCTGCGGCAGCATGACCAGTACCTGTAGGAGGTGTACCCGCACCCCCAGTCGTGGCGCCGCCAGTGGCACCAGCACCAGCCCCAGACTCTCCAGCTCCAGAAACACCACCAGCTCCAGCACCACCACCGACTCCAACATGCTCGGGACGTGCAGCTGCGGCAGGTGCACGCTCAGCTCCAACTCCAACACCCCCAGAACCAGCACCGCCAGAGCCCTCACCTCGAGCACCAACACCCTCAGCGTCCGCAGTGGCCGGGAGAGGAAGCGTCGACGGCTGCTGCGGAGGCTGTGAGGACGTCTGTGGGGAAGGAGGAGAGACCTGGGGGGGGACCGAGGGAGGGGGGGTAGCCTGCGACACACCTGACGGAGCGGGAACCGCGGGGGGTACCGGAGGAGAGGGAGCGGGAGGAGGAGGAGCTTGGGCGAGGAAGAGGGGAGGGGGGGGAACCGGGAGACCTCGACAGGGGTACCGGACGTAGTAGGGGACGGACTCGTCGAAACTGACGTCACGAGAGTCAAAGAACCGGTGGGAGGGAGGGTGGTAAAAGGTGAAGTCAGAGGAGGCCTCAGGGAAACCAAGGAAGACACAGGGGACGCCGCGAGGTGAGAGCTTGTCCGCAGAGGTGTCGCGGACAAGCGCCAAGCAGCCCCAGACACTAAACCTCGACGCAACACCAGGGGACCCTGTCCAAAGACTGGTCGGTGAAGCCCCTGGCCGAGAGACGCGAGGCCAGAGGTTCAGCTGGTGAGCGGCGTATCGAGCCGCGTAGGGCCACAGAAAATGGGGCGCGCGGGCGTGGATCATGGAGGTGCGGGCAATCTTCATGACCAGGCCTAGCCGGCGCTCAGCAACCCCATTCTGCTGTGGAGAGTCTGGAAGAGTCCAGGACTGGGTGATGCCCTGCTCAGCACAGAATCTAGCGAGAATGCCGGAGCGAAACTCACCCCCACGGCCGGAGTGGAGACAACTGACACGACGACGACGAGTACTCTCGGTGGCGAGTAGCCACCGAATCAGCGTAGAAGTCACGTCGGACTTCTTCGCCAAAGGGAACACGGTGGTGTACTGAGAGTAGTCGTCAACGACCACTAGGAAGAAGCTCTCTCGCTCAGGTCCAAGCCGGGGAGCGGGGCCCCAGACGTCTAAGTGGAGTGTCTCAAAGGGCTCGGAGGCTGGACGAAGGGAGGAGGAGTGAGGAGTGGCGCGCAGCCGACCCTGGACACAAGGACCGCACGGAGGAGCGGGGGACGGCGGGAGCAGCAGGAGGTCGCGGGGGAGGCCTAAGACAAGACGCTGACTGGACATAGCGCGGAGACGAGGGAGGGACGGGTGACCAAGGCGGTGGTGCCAGATGAGGGCAGGGTGGGACAGCGACCGACACGAGCACAACGCAGCCACTAGACCTGGCACAGCTACCTGACTGGACCTGGCTACCTGGTGGGACGGGGGAACCGGACGGGTGTCGGTGTGGAGGGTGTACAGACCAGAGCCCGGCTCCTGACGAAAAGTGGCCAGAGGGGCGTACGTGTCACCGTCCACACAAACTGCAGTGTCACCCGAAGGCTCAAACCAGACCCCGACGTGCTGTCTCGCCAGAGGAGCCACACCAACCAGGTTCCTAGAGAAAGTAGGAACGTGGAGGCCGGTCAGAGAACCGGAAGGGGCAGCTGGGCACGGGAGGGTAGTGGCGTGAGTCGCAATGACCGGTCCCGAAGAGGGATCGGCCAGTGCTACAGAAACCGGCGCCGAGAGCGGAGTAAGAGTCGTGCTGTCGCGGAAGAAGCACTGCGTCGCTCCGGAGTCCAGTGTGAAGGAGAGCGACGCGTCCGCCGAGGGAGCACCTGTACAAGTAGCTAGACAGGATCCTACACCAGCACCTACTCTAGCAACAGGCAAAGATCCTACGCTAGGTACAGGCAAGTAAACAGATCAGACGGCACTATAGTCAACATCAGCATACATGGCATAAGACCTAGCATCATCCATAGACATATCAAACACAGCAACACCACGAGCAAGGAGTGGTCCCCAGCGCGGTGGCGGGGGAGCGGAGGGACCGTGGTGCAGGACGTACAGGTCGTCAAGACGGCTGAAGCAGCGTGCAGCAGAGTGGTCAGGGCGGCCGCAGTACGTGCCCCTGCGCGGACCCGTCAGGATCCAGTACTCATAGGGACCAACGTCGCGGCCGGCCGAGCGGGGTCCCCGACTAGAAGGGGCACCACTGCGCCCAGTGCTCGGGGGGCCCGTAGGTCTCCACTGCTGCGGGGGGGCCCACTGCTGCGAAGGGCCCCACTGCTGCTGAGTGCCCCACTGCTGCAGAGTGCCCCACTGCTGGGGCTGCTGCTGAGGCGGACGCTGCTGTTGGCCCTGGCGCTGCTGCTGCTGTCCCTGCCGCTGCTGCTGTCCAGGCGGTGGCAGCTGCGGAGGAGTCTGCTGCTGCTGCTGCGAAAACCCCTCACCACCGTCTAGAGGAGAGCCGTCACGTCCCGAGTCACCCCCGCCGCCACCCCCGCCACTAGTACTACCGCCACCGCCGCCACCCGCAACACCCCCAGAACCCACGCCGCCCTTCCCTCCCTTCTTGCCGGACTTGCCACGTTTCTGTCCGCCAGAGACAGAAACGGCCGCCGTCTCCTGAGAGGCAGAAGACGCGGCAGTGGCAAGCGAGGTAGTGAAGGTGGGAAGCTGTGGTACCGCACACCCCTCAAAGAGACGAGGAGGAGGCGCGGAAGAGGCGGAGGCAACAGCAAGGAGGTTACTCTCGATCTTCGAGAGAGCGGTCTCAAGAAGATCGATAGTAAGCTCAGTGGGGTGCTTCAGGAGAAGCGCGTCGCGGGCTGTGGCTAGACGGTCAGGGAGGCGAGTGACTAACCAGTGAATAGTGAGCCACATGGGGGGGGGGTGCAAGGGCAAGCTGTTCCTCAGTGCAAGCGGCCTTGAAGCGAGCTTCAAGGGAGCGCAGGTGGGTAGCGAGGTCAGCGACAGTCTCAAAGGAGGCGAGGTCAGGGTAGATAAAGGGGACGAGGAGGCGGCTGAGGTAGGCAGAGGAGGGAGTGGAGTAGCGAGCAACAATAGCAGTGTAAAGGTCTGCAGCAGACTCGACCTGAGTGAAGTGGACAGCCTCAGTTGGCGGGAGAAGGTCGGTCAGGGCGAGGCAAGCAGCAGCGTCACGAGACTCCCACACGTCACGAGCGAGGAACCGGCGCTGGTACTCAGCCTCCTGCTCGGAAGTAGGCGGTGGGAAAGTGGCGGTGAAGGCTGCGGCGGGGCGGGCAGAGCACCAGACGCATGCGCAAACAGGTGCACGCCACCCTGGCGCTGGCTCCTAAGGTGGCGTTGGGCCTGCGCCGGCCAGGTACTAAAGTCGATCGCACGCCCCTCACGGTCGAAACGGAGCACGCGAGACGTCGCCATGAGGGGCGAGGACAAGTGATAGCGCCCGCCAGCCGCGATAGGACATCTATTTGAGAAAACTCCTCTTCCATGCTTCTTATGGGTGTAACCTCCTGCATCTGCCTGTCCACCTCCTCCGCAGCAGCTTTCCTCTTAGACCCCCCCAACTCCGCCATCACAGCACTCAAACCAGGTCTAAGCGAGCGTACGAGTCACTTTGACTACCTTGGAACCGGGCTTCTATCCGAGAAAACTCCTGCTCCATGCTTCTTGTGGGTGTAACCTCCTCCATCTGCCTATCCACCTCCTCTGCAGCAACATTCCTCTTCGAACCCCCCAACTCCGCCATCACTGCGCCCAGCTCTGCTGCGATTGTGCCCATGTCCGGCCGGGCGGCAGTGCGCCTGGCAGTGCACCGCAGCGCCAGTCGCACCACGGCTAACACGAGGTCCTCCCGTGCTGGCATGCGCGGGTCCTGGAGGCCTGGGGGGGCTGGGCCGTCGCCGGATTGCTGGAGTTGCTGCTCCACCGGATGGGATGGAGAGGAAGGCTTGGGGAAGCTAGAAATTAAGAATCTACGGGCTGAGGGCAGCCGCACCTCGGCCAATAGAAGGTCCTTCCGTGATTCCATTCCATGTGGGGGTCCTTGAGGCTTGGTTTTGGGTTCTGGGCCATTGCCGGATTGTTGGAGCTGCGGCTGCACCCGATGCAATGGAGAGGAAGGTTCTGGGAGGTTGAAGTCGAGAAATGAGGGTTTTGCCAGCAAAAGATTGGAAAGACACAAGACGAGCAACAAGTCATACAGAAAATGATGCTTAAGGAGCCTAAAACGACAAGCATATCACCCAGGATACGATGGTCATGGGCCAGATAGCCTCCTCATCATCTGTGCTTGAAAAGAGCCATTTCTCTGCAGTGGACTGCATTGCGCGGCCACACTTGTACCTGTTAGCAAAGAATAGGACCTGAACACTAGCAACTCACCCAGGATACGATGGTCACAGCGCAGCTGGTCTCCTGATCAGCACCGGACACCACTTTTCACCACCTAGATTCAGGTGCAACACTAGCAACTCACCCAGGATACGATGGTCACGGGGCAGCTGGTCTCTTGATCAGCACTGGACACCACTTTTCACCACCTAGATTCAGGTGCAACACTAGCAACTCACCCAGGATACGTTGGTCACGGGGCAGTTGGCCTCTTCGTCGGCCCCAGGAGCTAGCGACTCTTGAATGGCTGCCTGCCCCGTGATTAGCTCCAGCATCACCACACCAAAGCTGCACATGCAGGTGCACAAATGAGAGTGCAAGCACATGGAAGCAAACCTTGAAGCGAGAAATCCGGGTGGAAAACGTGAGTGGTGGACGGGTCAGGCCCTCTGCTGATTTTCTCCCAAATCAAGTGGCATCCCCCTTCACGTGTTCCATTTGGATCAGCTCACAACATGAAGTGAGCAAGATTAATTTCAGACCAATCTTTTGACCGGAGTGTAATAGTGTTGGTCACCTGCAAGCCATTGGTCACCTGCAAGCCATTGCTCACCTGCAAGCCATTGCTCACCTGTATACATCTGCAGAGGTGGTGGCCTTATTGGAAGCAGCATATGCGGGATCCACATAGCCTGGCGTTCCCACCACTCGCGTGGTCTGCACTGCCGTGCCCTCCCCCTTCATCACTAGCCCAAAGTATGATATCTTAGCCTGCGCATGGCACACAGTGCATGCCAATGAATGGGAGAAGCATGCACATGGCATATTGATATATAAAAATAATGACGCACACGAGATATCAAAATGTGAACAATGCACATGGCAAACAAGTTTTAATACATACCATCCACATCTCCTGTACTTTGATGGTGCAACAACCTCATGGGACGATGTTGTCTAGCTAGATGTCGCAATATGCACGCACATACACACATACGCGCGTGCGTCCCTGAGCACTGCTTCACACACCCACTCCCTACCCAGCATATTCGCCTACCACACTACACCACACCACGCATACCTCAATATCAAAGTCGTTAGCAATGAGCTTGGCGCGCTTCACAACCCACAAAGTGGTGCAATCAGAGGGAGGCACAGCGCGGTACACATCCCCAAACGCACCCTGCCCAGCAGATTCACCTCAAAAGACTCCAAACCACACCACTCCACACTGCACCACACCGCACCACACCATATCACACCACACCCTGCATACCTCAGTGTCAAAGTCGTTAGTAATAAGCTTGGCGCGCTTCACAGCGCACAGGGTGGCGCCATCAGCGGGAGACACCGCACGGTACACGTCCCCAAACGCACCCCTGCCCAGCAGATTATCCTCGCTCCACCAGTTGGTGGCCCTCACCACATGCTGCAGGGGATACTCAAGACATGCCTGCGCTGCTGCCGTGCTGCTCATTAACGCTGGTGAGAGAGGAAGGAGAAGGGGAGGAAGAAGGGGGGTTGAAGCACCAGGGGGCTAGTTTGGGTCTTTTGAGACGTCACAAAACTACACTTATATCACGTGACTTGTTTGGGTCCCTGCCCAGAAGATTCGCCTTCGCCTCACCCGTCAGTCGCCCTCCCTATGCCTGCGATCTGCCTTGCTGCTCAGCAGTGCTGGTGAGAGGGCAAGCGGAAGCGGCGGCAGGAGGTGAAGAGCGAGGGAGAGGAGAAGGAGAGGTGAATAGTGGATAGAGAGAGGCAGGTAGGGGATAGGGAGAGGCAGGTAGGGGATAGGGAGAGGCAATCAGTGGATAGGAAGAGGCAGGTGGGGGATAGGGTGACGCAGGTACCGACAAGGGAAAGGGAGCTACAAACAAGGGAGAGGGAGGTAGAGACGAGGGAGAGAGAGTTGTTAGTGTTAGCCTTCAATCTCACACTTTGTACTTTGTATTTTCTATATCCTAGAGTAGTGTAGTTTGCACATTGTGTTTGGTTGGGTGTACACCTACATCCCAACCAAACCCAAATGTAATCTCCAAGCAATCTCCAACCCACCAATTGGAGATTGCCTTGGGATTACCCCTAATCCCTAGGATTGCTCCCGATTCCCTTCCCCATCCATTCCCTCCCCTTCTTGGATGTATTTAAAGAGCTTCAAGCCTAAAATCTAAGATGGTATCAGAGCCTTTCAAACCGCACACGCGGATCGTGATCCTCTTATCTCTGCGGATGTTCGTCCCGCAAACCTCGGCGTAACCGCCTTCAATCTCGTCGCCGTTGATTTGCGACATTCGTGGGCGGAAATTCTTCCGCACCACTTTCCCGTCACTTTCGACGGCATCTACTATCTCACTGGTAAGCGCATCGTCGGCGTTTTAACCTATCGCTCGTTTTCGTCGAACATCATCGCGTCATTCCTTCTCCTCGTCGGGCTGTCGCTCGTCGCCCTGCAGCTTCTCGTCGGGCCGCCGCCCGTCGCCCTGCAGCTTCTCGTCGGGCTGCCGCCCGTCGCCCTGCAGCTTCACCTTCGGGCTGCCGCCCGTCGCTCCGCATCTGCGCTCCTACCCCCATCCCCCTCCCTTTCCCGCAGCTGAACAGGTGCAGCAGCACAGCCGAGCAGCAGCGTAGCCGCGAAGCCGAGCAGCCGTGTAAGCCGCGAAGCCGAGCAACATCTTTTGAGAAGCTGAGGGTGGTGTGTGGGGGGGTGTGTGGGAATAGGATTAGTAGGTAGTTGACACTAAATTGGCGTTTCAGTCGATTTCTCCTTCAGAAACCCTAAACCTCAAAATTCTCTTTCGTAAACCCTAAACCTCCGGTTCTTCAAAATCTCCTTCGGAAACCCCAAACCTCAAGTTCCTATCGTTGACTCAAGAGTGGCGCTCCGCGCGACACCCTAAGGGGTCTCCATCATGGCATTCGCCTCGTCCACCATGGACAACTCCATCACCCCACTCCGTCTTGACGCCGATGGTTCTGTCTCCAACTTCAAGGCATGGAGCTATGGGGTTGACAAGCACCTGCTGAGCCGTGACGTGCAGGGATTGGACCTCAAGGATGTCCTCCTCAACCGTGGCAAGGGAATACAGCCCCTTCTCCCTCGCGAGCCAACCGAATCTGCTAGTGAGGCTGACACAAAGGCATATGAGGAAGCCGTTGAGAAGTACCGGAAGTGGGAGAAGGCCGATGCTGCAATTATCAGCGTCTTCATCGCCTCCACCCCTCCAGAACTTGTCAACACATTCCATAACTACCCTACCTCCAACGCCATCTAGAAGTATCTCCAGGATCGGTTCATGAACAAGACTGCAGTCGGAGTTGCCATCCTCATCCCCAGCATGTTCCAGGTCTGCCTTGAGGATTGCTCGGAAATGGCCGACTACATTGCCAAGGTTCAGACCATTCATGGCGAACTCAAGGAGCTGGGTATAGTCTTCCCCGAACAGGCCCCTGCAGCAGCTCTTCTCGTTGGTCTCACCACAACCTATGAAATTACAAGGAAGATGCTCCTCACGCTGACTGCGGAAAACCTCACTTTTGCCAAGGTCTCCACCGCACTCCTCTCTGCCGAGAAAGACTCCACGGCTCAGGCCAAGGCTTACGCCATCCGCGCTCCCATGCCTCAAGCCAGTGTCGCATCGGCCCTTGCCTCGGCGCCCCTCCAGCGCAACCGCTTCCCACCGTGCACCTACGTCGTCAAGTATGGCAACCGCAAGGGACAAGTGTGTGGTGGCACTAACCACCCCCTCGCTACGTGCTTCAAGAAGAAGGACGACGAATGGTACGCCATCCACGGCATAGACAAGAGGCCACCGAACTGGATGCGTGCGCGTAAGGCCAACCTGGTTGAGGTCCAGGACCCCGCTTCGGCTAGTGCTAGTGATAGTGCTCCTGCTGATGCCCGTATCAACCTGTTGTTCCCAGGCACTGCCATGATTAATGAAGCTTCCTCCCAGTACCTCGGCTCATCACAAGCACCACAATACATAGAGTTCACACTCGACAGCGGGGCCACACACACTGTACTCAAGGAGACACTCTTTTTCAAACCCTACGCAACACCCATCCCTCTCCTAGGAGCTGACTCAAGCTTCACCACTCATGCCAATGGTTCATCCACAGTCCCGTGCCCCGCCTTCCCTTCCGGCACTGTCACTAGAATGTGCGTGCCTTCACTCCGCCACAATCTCGTGGCCCAAACGGAAATTCACGAAGCTGGGCTACGCACCATCTTCTGGGAGAACGAGAACTATGGTGATATCCTCGACCCACTCACCAACAAGGTCTTGACTCGTTTCACCCTCAACAGCAGCGGCCTTTACACGCTGCAAGTACCCATCCCACAGGTGTCAACCACCCAAACAGCGGTGACTACCTCACCATGTTCGTGCCGCAGTTTCTCCAACCCGACCATAGTCTACCACCATCGGCTCGGGCACCCAAACTTCCGCACACTTGCTGACATGGCCTCCAAGAAACTTCTACTCGGCCTGCCAGCCTCACTTCCTCCACCACCAGACTCCCCCGCTCCCACGTGCCTTGACTGCACCAAGAGCAAGCTGCGTCAACAGCCCCACCCGGCCTCACCTTCTGTTGCAGCAGGACCACTGGACCTGGTACACCTCGACGTCTGGGGCCCTGCCCTTGTTCCCACACGAGGTGGTTATCGCTACTTCCTTGTTATCGTCGATGACCACTCTCGTTACGTCTCTGTTCACCTCCTCCACACTAAGGCTGCGGTTCCAGAGGTCCTCATGCATGGGTTAAACACGCACAGACCGCCTTTGACCGCAAAGTCAAGCGCCTCCACTCAGATGATGGTGGTGAGTTTTGCAACGACAAGCTCAAAGCCTTCTGCTCTTCAGAAGGCATCCAGCAAAACTTCACCCTCCCTGACAGCCTGCAACAAAACGGCATAGCTGAGAGCCGCAACCACACCCTGGTGCAGATCACTCGGTGCCTCCTCAGCCACTCCAACGCTCCACACTCTCTCTGGGGGTACGCTCTCTACCACGCCGCCCTCCTCTACAACCTTTACCCCCAACCGCATCTTCCCGACACCACTCCAACCACACTCTGGCTCGGGAAAACGCCCACTGCTCGCTCTCTTCGCGTTTGGGGGTGCACCGCTTATGTCCTCCTCAACCCTCAGGCTCGACGGCAGCACGGCGGCAAGCTCGGTCCCAAGACCCAGACATGCATCTACCTCAGACACAACGCCGACTCGCCTGACTACCTCTTCCTCAATCCCTCCACTCAACAGTTGGTCCGGAGCCGAGACATTGTCTTTGATGAGACCCGCCCATTCTACTCCACTTCGAGACGGGACCCTCTCCCTGACCCACCCTCCCTCGTGTGGGCAGACTTTGATGCGCCTCCTGACCTCTCACCTACTCCGGCCCCTTCACCCCCTACCCCTCCTGCCACCGCACCGTCCCCCTCTGTGGTCTTTGACCCGCCCTCACCGGTGTCTTCGACAGCTGCTCCTCCATCCCCCTCACTTCCCACTTCACCGACTGTGCAGCCACCTCCGAGCGCACCTATCACCTACTATCGGCGGTCCCACCCTCCAGCCCCACCTCCTCCCCCGGTTCCCCCCACCATAGAGGAACCCGCTCTCCCACAGTCGCCCGAGCTGATCACGTACCACCGGCGGCCCATTCCCCCGCCCAAGCCTCCTAAGTCAACCCTTCCGACACCGCCTGCCCCACCCTCTTCTCCGGTGGCGCATGGCACTCGTTTGCATGGCGCGGCTCTTCCACTAGCGCTGGTTCTTCGATACACGGCGATCACACCGCCTCCTCCTGCTGGGGGGGATGTGTCCTCTACCCTTCTGGAAGACAGGCATGAGGAGCTGTGTGATCTTCATGCAGTCATTCCTCAGCTCTCGCACATCTTCCCCGACATCACTGATTCACCCTCCCTCAACTTCGCGGAGAACCCGACCATCCCTATCCCTCTCACCGTCCAAGAGGCTCTCTCAGGCCCTCATGCTGTCGAATGGCGTGCTGCCATGGAAGCGGAGATTGCAGCATTCACCCGCAACCACTCCTTCGACGACGAGACTCCACCTCCAGAGTCAACATCGTCAGGGGCAAGTGGTTGTTTCGTGTAAAACAGCTCCCAGACAAGGCCCCGGTGTTCAAAGCGCGTTATGTAGCCAAGGGCTTCACCCAGCAGCAGTACCGCGACTTCTTCTTAACCTTCTCCCCCACATCCAAACCTCCCACCATTCGTACGCTCATGAATGTCACAACTCGAGAAGACTTTGAGATCAAATCCATGGATGCCTCATCCGCCTTCCTACAAGGACGTCTCAAGGAGAGAGTGTTCATGGACAGACCAGAAGGCTTCCTAGGAGAATTCCCTCCCAACACTGTCTGGAAGCTGAATCGCCCCGTCTACGGCCTTAAGCAAGCCCCTCGCGAATGGCTCAACAAGGTGAAAGAAGTCCTCCTCTCCCTGGACTTCCACCCTTCAACTGCTGACCCGACTCTCTTCATCCGCCGTCATTCTGAGCCATTCTACATCCTGGTCTACGTGGATGATTTCATCCTCGTTGCCAAGGACTCGGCCCAGATGACCTCTGTCCAAGCAGCCTTGAGCAAGGCTCTCCAGATGAAAGACCTCGGTGACCTCAAGCACTACCTGGGGATGGAGATCACTCGTGATGGCCAGGCTCGCACCATTTCACTCTCCCAGGAATTCTACATCAACAATGTGCTCAAGCGGTTTGAGATGGAGCTGTGCACACCTGTTGCCACCCCGCTGCCACTGCAACGCCTCCTCACTGCTCCAGCTGTACCCACACCAGAGGCCTGCTCTGAGCCATACCCGGAGCTTGTTGGGTCCCTCATGTACGCCATGATGTGCACCCGACCGGACTTGGCCTATCCTGTCAGTGTCCTCTCTCGCTACGTGGCCCCTGGACGCTTCACTGATCTTCACTGGAAGGCGGCGAAGCGGGTGCTGCGCTATCTTCAGGGCACCAAGTCTCACGTTCTCACACTCGGTGGGCTCTCCCCTCCTCGCCTGGAAGGTTACACCGACTCCTCCTGGGCTGATGACCAGACCGACCGACGCTCCTCTCAGGGGTACTACTTCACCCTTGGGAGCGGAATTGTCAGTTGGCGCTCCACCAGGTCGTCTGCAGTCTCCCTCTCCTCCTGTGAGGCAGAGCTCTACGCAGGCACCATGGCTGCTCAGGAGGCCCGTTGGCTCACCTTCCTACTCCAGGAGCTTGGTTTCCCACAGTCCGCCCCCACCCTCTAGTGTGACAACCAGAGTACCATCCACATCTCTCAAGACCCTGTGTATCACACCCGCACCAAACATATTGAACTTCGGCACTTCTTCATCCGTAACCTTGTCCAACAGGAGCAGCTGAAAGTGGAATACGTTGCATCTGGCTGCAACCTGGCTGATCTGTTCACCAAGCCCCTTGGGAAAGTTCTCCACCACCGTCTCCTAAGTGCCATGGGGCTCTGTGCGCCACCCTCTCTACCATGAGTTCGATTGACGCCTATGGGGGGGTGTTAGTGTTAGCCTTCAATCTCACACTTTGTACTTTGTATTTTCTATATCCTAGAGTAGTGTAGTTTGCACATTGTGTTTGGTTGGGTGTACACCTACATCCCAACCAAACCCAAATGTAATCTCCAAGCAATCTCTAACCCACCAATTGGAGATTGCCTTGGGATTACCCGTTATCCCTAGGATTGCCCCCGATTCCCTTCCCCATCCATTCCCTCCCCTTCTTGGATGTATTTAAAGAGCTTCAAGCTCATTACTAATGCATCGCTTCTAAGCCTAATTTCTAAGAAGAGTTACAGACAAGGGAGAGACATGTGGAAGACAGTGTGAGGCGGGTAGTAGAGAAAAGGATGCAGGTGGAAGAGAGGGAGAGGGAGGTGGGGGAGAGGGAGACGGATTTGAAGAGAGGGAAAGGCAAGCGAAAGAGACTACGGAGCATGCAGGGGAGAGGAAGAGGGAGCTAGAGGAGGTAAGGTCAAAGCTGAAAGAGGCGGAAAACAAGGCAGCTGATGCACTGGATATGGTAATGGCCCGTGATTTCATCATTGAACAGCATATAAGAATACAGGTCAAGTTGTGCAAGCAATACGACATATTGACTGCGGCAGTGAAGGCTACAAATGAGTCTACAGATTGAGTGCTGCTTGGCAGACGTATTGGGTAGCCTCATCTGTAGCCTTCACCGCCGCAGCCAATACGTTGTATTGCTTGCACAACTTGACCTGAATTGTGCTATGCTGCTTCATGATGAAATCACGGGCCATTACCATATCCAATGCATCAGCTGCCTTGTATTCCGCCTCTTTCAACTTTGAACTTAACTCCTCTAGCTCCTTCCTCTCCTCTGCATGCTCCTTACTCTCTTCCACTTGCCTTTCCTTCTCTCCAATCTCCTTCTCCCTCTCCGCCACCTCCCACTCCCTCTCTCCCACCTGCATCTTTTTCTTCACTACCCCCCTCGCACTGTCTTCCACATGTCCCTTTCTTGTCTGTAACTCTCTTTCCATTGTCTCTGCCTCCCTCTCCCTTGTCTGAAGCTCCCTCTCCCTTGTCTGTACCTGCGTCACCCTATCCCCCACCTGCCTCTCCCTATCCACTGATTGCGTCTCCCTTTCCCCCACCCGCCTCTCCTTCTCCTCTCCCTCGCTCTTCACCTCCTCTGCCCAGCAGGTTCGCCTCGCTCCACCTGTCAGTGGCCTTCGCCACGTGCTGCAGCGGGTACTCCTGACACGCGTGCGTTGCTGCCCTGCTACTCAACAGTGCTGGCGAGATGGAGATGAGAGAACAAGTGGAAGCGGAGCGGATGATGTGATATGGAGCACTAGGGCGCTTGTGTGGGTCCCTGCCCAGCAGGTTCGCCTTGCTCCACCCGTTGGTCGCCCTCACCACGTGCTGCAACGGATACTCCTGACACGCCTGTGATGCTGCTCAACAGTGCTGGCGAGAGACTGGCCTCTTTCCAACCCATTGGTGGCCTTCACCACCTGCTGCAGCGGGTACTCCTAACACGCCTGCGATGCTGCCTCGGTGCTCATTAACGCTCGTGAGAGAGGAAGGGGAAGGGGTGGCAAAAGGGGGGATGATTCGCCTCGCTCCACCCGTTAGTGGCCTTCACCACTGCAGAGGGTACTCCTGACACGCCTGCTTTGCTGCTTTGCTGCTCATCAATGCTGGTGTGGGGAGCGCGTGAGAGAGGAGTGAGAGAGGAGTGAGCAAGGAACGCCCATCAGCGCTCATTCGACTATAATGGAGCACTGTGCCGCACTATTTGTTGTTGGAGAAGGGTGTGTGCAGCATTGTGTGGTGTGTGCAGCAGTGTGTGGTGTGTGCAGCAGTGTGCGGTGTGTGCAGCAGTGTGTGGTGTGTGCAGCAGTGTGCGGTGTGTGCAGCAGTGTGGGCCGTGAGAAGCACCTATCTGTTGCCGTTTGTTGAAGCAGCAGCAATAGAGCAGAAGAGCCACGCCCAGGAGAACATGTTTGAGTGAACTTTTGAGAATTCTCAAAAGTAACATCAACGGACCTTTCTGTTGCCGCTTATTGAAGCACCAGCAGCAGTCGAGGATTAGAGCCAGGCCCAGGAGAGCAACACAGGCGGCAACCACAGCCCCGACAATCACTCCCATGACACTCCTGCCTTCCTCCACTCTGGCTTTCCCTGGTTGCCTGTAGTGTGCTGTGCACTGCGCTCAATACCTTTCTCTTGCCGTTTGTTGAAGCAGCAGCAGCAGTGGAGAATTGAAGCCAGGCACAGGGCAGCAGCACAGGCGGCAACCACTGCCCCGACGATCGCTCCCACAGACACTCCTGCCTTCCCTTGGTTGGCTGCAGGCGGTGCTGGCAACTGGGACTTGTCGCCTGCAAAGACACAACAGAACGTGCAAGCACATTAGCTCAGCTGGCAGGGGGCTTGCACCAGGCATCCATCATAGTAGAGCAGCTTCTGCAGGCTGGAGTCACTGCCTGGCGTCACTGCCTGGGGTGACTCGCATGTGGTGCAGAAGTCGGCGCAGGTGCGGCAGGAGCCAGTAGATGGATTCTGGGCCACACCGCAGCTGCCAGTAAATGGATTCTGGGCCACACCGCAGCTGCCAGTAGATGGATTCTGGGCCACACCGCAGCTGCCAGTAGATGGATTCTGGGCCACACCGCAGCTGCCAGTAGATGGATTCTGGGCCACACCTCAGCTGCCAGTAGATGGATTCTGGGCCACACCGCAGCTGCCAGTAGATGGATTATGGGCCACACCGCAGCTGCCAGTAGATGGATTCTGGGCCACACCGCAGCTGCCAGTAGATGGATTCTGGGCCACACCGCAGCTGCCAGTAGATGGATTCTGGGCCACACCGCAGCTGCCAGTAGATGGATTTTGGGCCACACCGCAGCTGCCAGTAGATGGATTCTGGGCCACACCGCAGCTGCTAGTAGATGGATTCTGGGCCACACCGCAGCTGCCAGTAGATGGATTCTGGGCCACACCGCAGCTGCCAGTAGATGGATTCTGGGCCACACCGCAGCTGCCAGTAGATGGATTCTGGGCCACACCGCAGCTGCCAGTAGATGGATTCTGGCCACACCGCAGCTGCCAGTAGATGGATTCTGGGCCACACCGCAGCTGCCAGTAGATGGATTCTGGGCCACACCGCAGCTGCCAGTAGATGGATTCTGGGCCACACCGCAGCTGCCAGTAGATGGATTCTGGGCCACACCGCAGCTGCCAGTAGATGGATTCTGGGCCACACCGCAGCTGCCAGTAGATGGATTCTGGGCCACACCGCAGCTGCCAGTAGATGGATTCTGGGCCACACCGCAGGTGCCTGGCATGACAGGGAGGCGTGCACATAGCATGAAGGTCTTATGCAACCAGAGCCCGAGCAAGTGCAACAACCGATAAAGAAGCACCCAATTCTGCAGCTGCAGCAAAACCACCTAATCTCGAAAGCGTTCTGATTGACAATAATGACAAGATTTTTTCGACGATACATGTGTCGCCGAAGCAAAAACCTGGGAGGGACCCTCCGACTTGGGTGGAGGGGAGCACGTGGTCTGATATAACTCGTGTGCTCCACACAAAAGAGCCGGCATGTCCTAGAACCATCACGTGGATGGTTTCGAGTGTGCTCCCCTCCATCAGTCTGAAGCTCTCTCCCATGTTTCTACTTCGGTGACACGTACCGTAGAAAAAAATCTTGTCATTATTATCAATCAGAACGCCTTCGAGGTAAGGTGGTTCTGCTGCAGCTGCAGAATTGACTGTTTTTTTAGCGGCTGTTGCACTTGCTCGGGCTCTAGTTGCATGCATGACACTAGGGATGAGCAAGAGGCAAACACGAACCTTTTCGCGTTCGCCCCTGCACGAACACCGCCATTCGGCCAACCGAACAGTGTTCGGTTCGCCGAGCGACTTTCCCAAAAAAAGGTGTTCGCCGTTCGCCTGTGAAGGCGAACACGAACGTGTTCGTGGCGAACACGTTCGTGTTCGCCCCGGGACTACATTCACACGTTTGTGGATTGGGCATTGTTGACATTTGTTAGGTGGCTGTAAGGTCCAAATAGAGTAAAATTCAAATCGTTGCACATTCCCTCCCCCCACCCCCCAAGCCAGTCCCGCCCTGCTTCATCCATGCTAGTGCCAGCGTGTGACGGCGAAAGGCTAGATCTGCACTTAAGCAACGGCAAAATGCTAGATCTGCACTTAAGCAACGGCGAAATGCTAGATCTGCTCTTAAGCAACGGCGAAATGCTAGATCTGCTCTTAAGCAACGGCGAAATGCCTTGATCCGCACTTAAGCAACGGCGAAATGCTAGATCTGCACTTAGCAACGGCGAAATGCCTTGATCCGCACTTAAGCAATGGCGAAATGCTAGATCTGTACTTAACTAACTTCGAAATGCCAGATCTGAGCCCAAACACCAAGGCCCGCGACCTAAAAATTAGTCGCGGGCCTATTCGTCGACGAACACGAACACGTTCATGTTCGACGCGCCTCGGCCAACTGAGCCGGGCGAACGGCGAACGAGCTCGGGCGAACACCGAACACGTTCACCCCGAACAATTTAGGCCAAAAAAAAATCCTGTTCGGTTCGCCTCATATTGCTCACCCCTACATGACACATGCATGGTACATGTCCCGGCTGCTCCTCGGCAGCATGCCCCACAGCAAGAAAGCATCCTACAATATTCTACTCTGGAAAATAAGCCGCTGACATGTAAAGGCACGACCTCCAAGTGGGGTCCCTTCCCTTCAACGTGCATGGCAGGTGCAGTGCATGGCAGGTGGAGTGCATGGTAGGTGCAGTGCATGGCAGGTGTCCTGACTGCCCCCTACAAGGCATTTTCTACTCACAGGGACGTGAGGCTGGTGCATGGGAGCCCATCAGACTGCAAAGCGTTGGAGCTCAGATTCCTGCTACCGTGCGTGCTTCCTGATTCTGTGAATGTGCACACTCCATGCCTCCAACTCTCTGTAGTTTCTCGACTGCCCCTACCCTACTCACAGGGATGTGAGGCTGGTGAGATTGCTCAGGTCCCGAGCTGGTGAGCTTGCTCAGGTCGGACTGCAGAGCGTTGGAGCTCAGATTGCTGCCATGTGGGGGGTGGGAGGGAGAGTAGAAGGGTTAATGGAGGGGTGTGGGAGGGCACCGGGAGCGTGCATGCAAAGGGACGGAGAGAGCGTGCACGCAAGGACGTGCATATGCACATGCACATGCACAAGCGCACGCAAGGAGCTATGCCCCGCTTGCTTGCATGGCTTCTGCAATCGGCATCAGAAAACAAACGATGGGGAGTCGTACAGTTGCTGTAGTTTGGCGTAGTCCATTTCTTGAAGTGGCAACAGCTCCGAGACGCCGTTAGACCGCAACTTGCTGGAGTGGAGAGTAGCGAGAAAGGCCAAGGCGGAGAATGAGGGGAAGAAAGCGCAGCAAGAGGGGCATTGAGAGGCAGTAGTAGCAGAGAAGGGAAGACGACCTCAGATGCAGGTGTGTGGAAGGGTCAAGGTGGGTGGAAGGGCCAAGGTGGGGCTGAGGTTGGGGGGCACACTGGCTTGTGTGGGGGGCACACTTGTGTGGGGGCAAGGGTCTGGGAAACAGCAGGTGTGCGAACTGGGTGTGGAGAGTGCAAGAGAGGGCAGTGCGTGTGGGGCATGAGTGTGGGTCCTGCATGTGGCGCATCAGTGCTTGAGGGGCGTGCACATGAGGGCCGTGCACATGAGGGCCGTGCACATGAGGGCCGTGCACATGAGGGCCGTGCACATGAGGGCCGTGCACATGAGGGCCGTGCACATGAGGGCCGTGCACATGAGGGCCGTGCACATGAGGGCCTTGCACATGAGGGCCGTGCACATGAGGGCCGTGCACATGAGGGCCGTGCACATGAGGGCCGTGCACATGAGGGCCGTGCACATGAGGGCCGTGCTTACACATCCACGAGGCTGGTGAGAGAGGTGAGCACGGAGAAGGCACCATTGCTGCCCATGCCACAGTCCTTCACTCTCCTGCATGCCACCGCAGGCGAGGGAAGCAGGGAGCTTTGAATAAGTGCTTGGACCTTCAAATAAGTTCCTGGGCCAGCAAGCATCAGCATGAACCCAGTCCATACATGCTACATCCATGGCATGCCATGCCACGCCATGCCATTCCATGCTGTAACATATAGACCGACTCACTTGAACTTGTAAGGATGCAGTTTTGTTACGGCATATGTCAAGCATCTCTTGCGCATTCACCCTCAATGCATGCACTGGCGAGTACAGTCTGATCACCTGAGAGAGGTTGTAAGCCATGTGAAAAGACGGGTGGTTTTGAGACGTCTCAAAAGACGGGTGGTTTTGAGACGTCTCAAAACCTCAAAAAATGCAATTGCGTACAGTCTGGTCAGCTGAGAGAGGTTGGCAATGCTAGTCTCAAATGCACACATTCAAATGCTGGAGAGAAAGCCCTCTGACACACTTATTCCTACAGTCACGTGCATGCGTTGGCCAAACGTACAGTCTTGTCAGCTGCGCGAAGTTGGCTATGGTGGAAGGAAAGCTCTCTGCAACACCGCCCGGAACACACTCCACTGACCTGCAGAAGCACATGCACATGCACATGCATGGAGTAAACCGAATGCATGACTACTTTTGATGCACGCGAACATACTAATCCTTCCTTCATAGAGAACGAGGAGCACACTCCGCAAGGAAAGCACGGTATATGCACGCTGTAAGGACAATGTTACTCAGATTATCATACAGAATAAATAAAAACATCAGAATTAGCAAAAACAAAACCGACAAGCGTATAACTTGGCCTCAATCTGGTTGCCCCTACTCACTGTATGAGTCAACTAAAAAATGCCCAACTCACAGAGACTTGAGCCATGTGATGCTGTAGAGTGGGTTGTCTGGAAAATAGATAGCGCTGCTGAAGCTCCTGCATTGTGGAAAGCATTGCTGAGGTTAGGATGGATAAAGTCGCACAGAAGGCCAAAGGAGAGGGCCCAATGCAAGCCAAGCACAACGCACGCTGAGAACTTCCATTCATGAATGCGGCTGCGGTGGTTGGTGGGTGGTGGTGCGGGTGGAAAAGGCGTGGGCATTGAAGTGGCACAAGAACAGGCGCACATAAGCACGCCGCTCGCAGGGGCCCTGTCCGAGCCCTCCCTGGGGACTCTCGCACGCGCGCTACTTTATCACACACGCAATCATGCACACACGCGCACGCACGCACACACACCCATGCATGCACACACGCGCACGCATGCACACACACCCATGCATGCACACATGCATACATGCCTACACGCGCACGCACGCACACACGTGCATGCACTCTCTCTCTCTCTCTCACACACACACACACACACACACACACTCACACGCACGCACGCACGAGCACACACACATATACTCACGTTCACACACACACACACAAAAACACACACGAACATGCACACAGACACACACACGCACATGCACGCACACACACACACACACAAACACACTCACACACACACACACACACTCACACACACACATAGGCATGCACTCACGCACAAACACACTCTTGTGCGCGCGCACGCACACGCACATACAGCTTTGTGAGGCGAGTAAGGCGCGTGACACTATCCGTGGGGAAGGACGGCCCTATGAGCGTGAAGAATTGCCTGAGGGGGGAAAAGGAGGGGATGGAACAAGGAGGAGTTTGAGTAGACTCGGAAAGCATCTGAACGGACGGCCTTATAAGCGTGAAGAATCGCCTCAAGGGGAAGGCGGTGGGGGTGGAAGAAGAAGGAAGAGATGTTTGTATTGATTCCGAAAACACTTGGAAGGACGGCTTCATAAGCGTGGAGATAGCTTGGGGGTAAAAACGGTGGGTGGAACATTGGCAGTTTGTTGTGCCGAGGCACCCTGGATTGAAGAGCCCTCAAGGGCACTTCAGATGTGCTTTCAGATTCGATTTTCAGAAGGATAGCACAGCGCATCGCAACGCACAGGAAGAACCAAAAAAGGCAGCACAACAGAGAGAAGCAAGGTGTTGCAGACATACACGGAGGTGATGCTGGCAGCCCGCAGTCCCCTCCAGGGAACCAGCCGGCAAATGTTAAGTTCCACCCCTTCTGCACCTCCTGCGGCACCGCACCTGGGCAACGGGACGGGCCAATCACAGCAGCACAGCACATGCGGCGGCCACGCATGTGGAGAATTCTGTATTGTTGAAGATGTGGACGTTGAGCAATCTGGTCGTGAAGCTGTGATTCAGTGGTGAGTGGTGAGTGGTGGAGAGACCTGCCCAGAGTAGATATTTTCGCTTGGAAGGAGTAAGCAGAGTGGGAAGAAGAGTGGGAAGCATAGAGGGAAGAAGGGAGGGAAGCCGTGTGGCATCATGTCGAAGCAAAGCAGGCAGAGAGGGAAGCAGACGAAAATACCAGATGAAGGGAGGCCTTGACGGCTGTTGGTGGCTGTTGAGGTTTGTGTGATTGCTGGTAGCTCGATGAGCATGCACGCGCACACGAGCACGCGCACGCGCACGAACATGAGCACGCGCACGAGCACGCGCACGAGCATGAGCACGCGCACGCGCACGAGCATCACAGCGTTGTTTTTGGGAAGCGTGTTGCGTGGCAGGCAGGGCAACGCGGCAGCATACCACGAGTTGCGCGAGTCTTAGTAGCAGGAATGATTTCACCTGAGCTGCGGTCGATCAATTCAGCGACCCCATACTTTGTGACTTCCTAGTCGACTCACAAGTCACTCCATGATACGTTCATCCGTACCATCGGATTCCGAGATGATCTGCGCGACGGCCGCTCGCGGCGCGGCGCGAGGCATGCGAGCAGCGCGACGACGAATGCGAGCACGGAGCGACCGCCGCCACGTCCATCGAGGCCTTTAAGCATGATCGTGCGCGCCGCGCCGCCGTGCCAGCTCCGCTCAGTCCACGAGGCAGCGACTCGCTGGTCTGCGGTACCCCTGGCCTTGGCGGCGTTACTATCAGTGGGTCTGTCGCATCGACAGACGGTCGCGGCTCGGAGTCTCTCGAGGCGAACATGGTATTTGTGAGGCTTCTAGTGACCATGAGCGGAGCGGAGTTTACTCTCAGAGTCTGTCCGTACAGCCACGCAGCTGAACGAGTTGCGCGGCGGCTGACGATAAGTAGTATCGACGGCGAGGCGATGACATGTCTGATGGCGTTCACAAGGGCCTGTAAGAATCCGCCCTGGATTAACTGACGCCACAGACTCAGCTTGACGAGTTAAAACCAGAGCCTAGGATCAATCCGACGGGCTCAGAGCAAGGATTTTGTAGCAACTTAGATCACTGAAATCGCCCAAGAGTTGAGAGAGAAAACGTTGTTCATATGAAGATAGGTACACAAGTCGTACAAGGAATATATACTCTCTGTTTTGCTCTCAGGATTTATAACTAAAACACACATGCAGAATTGTAACATCGAACCGCGTGCGACTCGCCGGAAATTCGGACTCAGGATCGCGTCCAATTTCCGCGACGTCCGCGTTCATAATTTCGGACTTTGCCGGGTTCGTTTCTTCACGCCGACAATCGTGTGTTACAAGGATCAATAGCGAGTGTAGCGAAATGTTCGTAACATTCGCTTGCACCCTCGCTATTTTCGTGCATGCTTGTGGGGCTGCCAAGTGTCGCCCCCACAAATGTTCGGACCCAACCGAGGGAAGTTCGGTTGCGTGGCGACGCGGACAATCCGCCGTCACCCCAACCTTCCAAGAACGAACCCTCCCTTGGTCCGAGTCAAGGGAGGTCTTCGCGTGGGGGGCAATCCCGTCCCCCACACTTCCAACACTCCCCCTTGCACCCCACGCACACCTAAGCATGCAAGCCTACCCTAGCACAACATGCATGAAGAGCATCTTTAGGCAATGGCTTGGTGAGGAAGTCCGCGGGTTGGGAGTTGGTCTTGATGTAACGAAGCTCGACTTCGTTGTCTTCAACGAGCTTGCGAATGAAGTGGTGGCGGATTTGAATATGCTTGGTCCTTCCATGAAGGACCGAATTCTTGGCTAGGCCAATGGCGGCTTGGTTGTCCACGTAGATGGGAGTGGGGCCTTCTTGTTTGTGCCCAAGCTCGGCAAGAAGGCGACGTAACCAAACCGCTTCCGTATCACCACGAGTGAGCGCCACATACTCCGCTTCGGTGGAGCTAAGTGTAATCAAGTTTTGGCGCTTGCTTTGCCAACTTATTGCACCTCCCACGAGGGTGAAGATGTAGCCCGAAGTGCTTTGGCGGGTTGAAGGATCTCCCGCCCAATCCGCATCCGTGTAGCCTTGTAGCACCACGGGTCCCTTCTCGTAGTGCAACCCCATACGAGTGGTCCCCTTGATGTAACGAAGGAGACGTCGTGACGCTCGCACATGCTCGACCATGGGGTTGGAGACGACACGTCCAAGCACTCCAACAGGAAAGGAGAGGTCGGGTCGCGTGCTCACCGCGGCATACATGCATGACCCAACAACCGAGTGGAAGGTCTTGGCGCTCTCGGGATCCATCGGTTTTTCATCGCTCACCGCCAAGGGATGAAACGCCGCTTCCATAGGTGTCGGTGTAGGCTTGCTCTCGATCATGCCGAAGCGATCCACCACACTCTCCAAGTACTTATGTTGGTGGAGAGCGAGGGTCTTGTTCCCTCGATCGCGATCAATGTGCATCCCTAGGTAGTGGGAGACGGCGCCGAGGTCACGCATGGAGAATTCGGCGGCAAGCTTCGTCTTCACGTCCGCTACAAGGGTCTTGCAATCCGACACGAGGAGAAGGTCGTCAACGTAGAGGAGAAGAACGAGCTTCTTCTCGTCCTTGTTGAGCACGTATAGCGCGTGGTCACACTCGCTCCGCACGAACCCCAAGGAGAGCAAGTGATCGTCGATCCTCGTGTACCATGCACGAGGGCTTTGCTTGAGGCCATAGATCGTGCGCTTGAGCTTGCACACGCGGTCGGAGTCGTCGTCGAACCCGGGAGGTTGCTTCATGTACACCTCCTCCTTGAGACGACCGTAGAGAAACGCCGTCTTCACGTCGAGTTGTTCCACCTCCAAGTCGAGTGCTCCCGCCAACGCCAAGAGAGTGCGCAACGTAGCCGACTTAGCGACGGGAGCGAACGTCTCGTTGTAGTGAAGACCCTCCTTTTGAGTATAACCTTGCGCCACCAACCGCGCCTTGTACCGCTCCATTTCTCCGTTGGGGCCGAGCTTCTTCTTGAAGACCCAACGAGAGCCAACGAGGTAGGCGCCCGGGGGCATGGGGACGAGCTCGTAGACGTCGTTCGCCATGAGCGAATCGTACTCCTCTTGAAGCGCACGTTCCCATTCCGCCGCTTCCGCCGAGCTCATGGCGCCTTGGTAGGTGGACGGTGTGTCGGTGTATGCCTCAAGACACATGGCATCTCCCCCTCCCTCATCATCCCCCGCCACAAGAGAGTAGCCATCCAACTTGGAGTTGGGACGAGGAGTCCTCCGAGTGCGAGTGGATGCGAGAGTGGGAGTGATTTTGGGAGGAGGAGATGAAGGGTCACTTTCCTTGGCATGTTCTTCATCCGCACTCACTCCAACCGCACCCGATCCATTCTCCCCCTCACTCGTACGAGGAGGAGAAGCCGTAGGAGCAACATCCGCGTCACGTCGTCAAGGAGCGTGAGGACGTAGCGTGCGCCGCCCTTCGACGCGGGAGTGATGGGTCCACACAAGTCGGTGTGAATGAGCTTGAGAGGTTCGGTGGCGTTGGGCTTCGTGCTTGGTGGAAATGGATTCCGAGCCATTTTCCCTTCAAGGGAACCGACACACTTCTCGTCGTCTCCACTCGAGCGCAAAAACTCCAAGCCATCGACAATCCCCTTTGTTGCCATAGCTTGAATAGCGGCGTGGTTGAGATGGCCATACCGATTATGCCACGTCGAGAGAGTTGTTGTCGAGGTAGCCGCTTGAGCCGTCGCCACACTCGGAAGAGCGTCGAGCATGAAGAGTCCTCCCGCTTGGCGTGCCGTGCCGATGTGTACGCCGTCCGCCGTGCTCAACGCCATCGTGGTCCCTTCAATATTCACACGCATCCCCTTGCGTGTAAATTGGGAAACGGATAGGAGGTTGGCGCCGAGCCCGGGAACCACCAAGACGTTCTTGATGGTGAGTGGACCGCCATCCACCATGAGCCGCAAGTCGCCTTGTCCCGTGACATCCAAGGTGTCACGGTTGCCGAACATCACGCGCTTAACGGGAGCCACCGTTGTCACGTTGTTGAGAAGCGTCGCGCTCGCCGTCATGTGTTGAGTAGCACCCGTATCGAGTACCCACGCGTCAACACCACCGACGGTCGTTCCACTTGCGACGAAGACGAACTCCCGGTCGTTGTTGTCGCATGTCGCCACATGCGCGCGCCGGTTGTCGTCACTTGAAGACGGCCTCCAATTCGCCGGTTTAACGGGACAATCGCGCCACCAATGTCCCGTCTTCTTGCAAAACCGACAAGCTCCCTCTCGCGCCCGAGCTCGATTGGCGTTGGCCGATCCTCCTCGTGATGAGCTTGAGGCCGCCGCGCTCCCGTTCGAACTCCCGCGGTTGTTGCCGTCGTTGCGCCGCTTGAAGTGACCCGACCCTTTCGCCTTCGCATCGCGGGAGAAGTGTGCCGCGCCGATTGCATCGCCATGCAACTTCGCGCGCCTCGCCTCTTCGTTGATGAGGCGTGCCACCACTTGCTCCTTCTTCCATGTATCTTGCGTCCCATCCAACACCGTGATCACCGTTGACCATGCTTCACCGAGGCCCGCGAGGAGCGTCATGATCCAATCGTTGTCCTCCACGCTCGCGTCGAGTTCCACCAAGCGCTCGCCAAGCTCCTCCACGCGGTTAACGTACGCGCGCATTGACTCGCCGTCCTTCATCCGCACCGCGAAGAAGTCGAGGCGCGCTTGAAGCTTGCTATGAAGCGACTTGGAGACGTGCTCTCCTTCGAGTCGCTTCCACGCTTCACGAGTCGCGCCGTCACGGTCGATGCAAGGGCTCACGATCGGGACGAGTTGGAGGCTTAGCTTGGAGACAAGAAAGGCAAACGACTTTTTGTCCTTGCGCACCCACGCTTCCTTCTCCGCGGTTGAAGCATCCGACGTGGGCTTCGATGCCGACCCATCGAAGAATCCCCACAAGTTGCGCTCCGTCATGTAGACTTTCAACTTGAAGCGCCACGAGGAGAAATGTTCCCCGGTAAAAATTGGCACTGCGCTCAAGTCGACAACGTGCGGGGTTGTCGAGAAGTCCGTTGGGAGGGAAGGGGCCGTTGGCGTATTCGTCGTCGACGAATTATCGGAGGAACCCATGGCGTAGCAACGCTTGAGCGAGCACTCCTAATCTAGCTCTGATACCATGTAAGAATCCGCCCTGGATTAACTGACGCCACAGACTCAGCTTGACGAGTTAAAACCAGAGCCTAGAATCAATCCGGCGGGCTCGGAGCAAGGATTCCGTAGCAACTTAGATCACTGAAATCGCCCAAGAGTTGAGAGAGAAAACGTTGTTCATATGAAGATAGGTACACAAGTCGTACAAGGAATATATACTCTCTGTTTTGCTCTCTAGATTTATAACTAAAACACACATGCAGAATTGTAACATCGAACCGCGCGCAACTCGCCGGAAATTCGGACTCAGGATCGCGTCCAATTTTCGCGACGTCCGCGTTCATAATTTCGGACTTTGTCGGGTTCGTTTCTTCACGCCGACAATCGTGTGTTACAAGGATCAATAGCGAGTGTAGCGAAATGTTCGTAACATTCGCTTGCCCCCTCGCTATTTTCGTGCATGCTTGTGGGGCTGCCAAGTGTCGCCCCCACAAATGTTCGGACCCAACCGAGGGAAGTTCGGTTGCGTGGCGACGCGGACAATCCGCCGTCACCCCAACCTTCCAAGAACGAACCCTCCCTTGGTCCGAGTCAAGGGAGGTCTTCGCGTGGGGGGCAATCCCGTCCCCCACACTTCCAACAGGGCCATGTTCGGCTGGCGCATCAGCCCGCACCAGGATGTCGGGGCACGCACCAGGAGTTTGATGGCCGTTCTGACACGCGAAACGCGATCTCTGTATGGGATGGTATGGCCAGTAGAGATATTTTGAAGTGCTTCGTTTCTTTTTCTGTTCACAGGTAAAGGTGTACCCTTTCTATTTCACACAGCACACTCCATGAATGAGATGGGGTTGCTGGTTGCAACCCTTTCACTTGCTTGCAGGTAATGTCATGTGCGCCCCATGTTACCATCATTTTATGTCTAGTATAACTGCTGTAACATAGAGTTATACCATGAGCGAATACACATTCGAGCCCCAACATCGTAGTCCCACAACCCTTGCTTCACCTGCCTCCGTATTTTCTTCCTCCTCCCAGCCACCCAATTGTTATGGATTATCACACAACCCATCTCTTCACACCCTTTCCGAACGCTATTCCCCATATGGAACAGCATCTGCGTCGCACCATTAGGGAACCTCTTTCTATCGAGAAAATCCACAGTAAGGTTGAACTTCGGATTTAAGCACTGGGAATCGCCCACAGTGTACTCAGAAGAAGCTCCACACAGCACATCATAGAAACTCGGCTGCTCTGTTATTGGTGATGCTGCTGCATGCGCCACCACCGCCTCGAGAGCCGCCAATGCCTTCGGCTCCGAGCGAATGAAATAAAACCCTGAGTTGAGCCGCCGATAGTCATTATCCGGGCCCGTGTCATTGTGATTGTCGCTCTGAACCACCATATGCCCTGGCCCATACCCCATCACTATCGGTCGCGCATCCGCGAACCAATAGATATCCGCGTCGTTGAACAGCACGTGGTAACCAGCCCGTAACACGCGGAGGGCTGCCCGAGACTTCACTTTAGTCACATTGAGGAAGCAGTCCGTGCCGAAGTGGCAGTCGTCACGGCCGAACGCGTCGTCATACGCGTGGGGGAACACCGGGAGGCCCTGCTCGCGGGCAAAGTCGTAAGTTTCCCTGTCCATGGCGGCTATAACGTAGTTGTGCACGTGCAGGCGGCGCAGCCCGCACACCCAGCTCATCATCACCTCCCTGTAGTTTGATGCTACCACCGCCAGCACCGCCGTCCGCGCTTCGTCCCCCTCCACTGCACCTGCCACCTCGACCCCTGCTGGCCCCCCTGTCCCTTCTGTCCCTTCTCTCCCTTTTGCCCCTTCTCTCCCTTCTGTCCCTTCTCTCCCTTTTGCCCCTTCTCTTCCTTCTGCTTCAGACTTCCGCCTACGGCTGCCTCTCCTTCCTGCTGCAGCCACCTCTCCGCCCAATCCGTCATCCTCTTGCATGCCTCTCCCCCTCGCCCTCGCCCTGCCTTCCCCTCTCTTCATTCCCGTCCCTCTCCCCACCACCTGTCGCAGCACCCGCAGCATCACCTCATCATGCTCCACTCTCTCAAACACAAGCGGCCCCACCTCTGCCCCTCCATCCGCCCCTCCACCCGCCCCTCCAGTCTCGTTCCTACCTCCGCCCGCCCCTCCTCTCTCACCCCCATCCCCTCCCCCTCCACCCACACCCTCCTCGCCTTCCCCCCCAAACTCCACCTCCTTCCTCTTAGCTTCCCGCCTCCGCCTCAACCCAGCCCCCTCTCGCCTCCACGCTGCAGCTGCCTGCAACAGCCCCTCCTTCTCAACCCGCCCAATGCACCTCCACCCCTCCCCCCCATCACCCCTCCCGCCCTCATCCCACCCCCCGCTTCCTCCTTCTGGCACCACCATCCCCCGGAGCTGCTGCTTGTCTCGTGGCTGGAAGCAGAACCCAGCAGCGCCAGGGTGGGCACACGGGACGAGGGCCCACAGCACATCTCCAAGTGACACGCGCGGCCCACGGCTCACTCTCTGCTGCTGCCTCTGTTGCAGCAGTTGCTGCTGTGCAGCGCTGCTGCTGTCCTTGGTGGAACCGTGCTTGTTGTGTGAGTGACTGTTGGCGGGAGGAACAGAGGAGAGTGAGAGGGGAAAGGAACCGTAGGAGAGAGCCAAGTAGGCATTCAGCTCTTCCTCTCCTTCCTCCTCACCCACTCCGACACCTCCCTCCTCCTCTCCCTTCACCTCTCGCTCTCCCTCCTCCCCTTCCTCCCCTCCTCCCCCTTTCTCCTCTCCTTCCCAGTCGCCTATACCCTCCTCCGCTACAGCAGCAGCCCCTTCGGGTGGCAGCAGCAGCACGGGCTTCAGCGCGGAGGCATCGAGCACGAGGCGGAGCGGAGAGGAGAGGCACTCGTGCAGAACCCACTGCTGCCACACGCCGCGAACTGAGGATAGTGTGCCGCGGTGAAGGCTAGGTGTGTGGTAACCAGGTAACCCCTGGCCTGTAGACTCGTTCCTTGGAGCTTGAGAGCCGGCCATTGGATCTAGCATTTCCTTTTGCTGCCCCTCCTCACGACCGCCCTTGCCCTCTCGCCCTCTGTGCCCTTCCTTCCCCCTTGACCCCTCGCCCTCTCCCCCACTTCCTCCCCTCTCTGTGTGTGGCTGCAGCAGGCGGAAGGGAGGCATGGTGCCAGAGAGGAGGGGGGTGTGACCTACATTCCAGGCCCATAGGATGGGGGGAGAGCAGGGCGAGTGGGAGAGCAAGGAGGATGACTGGAGATGACTCAGTGCCTCATCCATACTCAGCTGACGTGTCACTCCTGTTACACTGGTTGCCACCCATGCATACTCCTCCTCACTGATACCCTTCTTCTCTGCACTATTCTCTTCCCTCCCCGCCACCCTACCCGGCCCAACCCTCCTCCACTCAACCGAACCAACTCCCGAGCCTCGTGCCGAGCCTCCTACTTCAACCTTCCACGCGCCTGCCACCAGTAGCCAGTCTCCCTGCACGTCCCGTGTCTTCTCCAAAGCTACACTCAGGCTCGACATAAGCACAGCCTTGGGGTCGGTTAGGACAATCGCCAAGCCTGCACGGGAGGCTCGGGCGCGGGCAAAGAGGCTGTTGGCTAAGGGTCGGCCTGAGGCGAAGCTAGGGAGGGCGCAGATGGGAGGAGGGGGAAGGGATGGGGCGTGGGGAAGGGATTGTGAAAGCGGGTGAGGGAATGAGGAAGAGGGGGAGGAGAATGGATGAGGGCGGATGGGGTTTAAAGACCATGGGCTCAATCCAAGAGACTGTTTGAAAAGCATGACAATTCTCCCCATGCCTTCTCTCCCCTAACTCGTATCAACCTCCTCCTCCACCACAACCCGCCTGTTGTATCTCTAGGCGACGCGGGTCAGGCTGGGATGGGACCCCCTCAGCACCACTCACACGTCGGGCTGCAGACGCACCCACAACCAACAGGGATTTGAGCCCACTCGCCCCCACATGCCCATGCACCCCTCCCCATGCACCCCCCCATGCACCGGTGCCCCCCATGCGACCCTCCCCGCACGCCATGCTCCTCATGCCTTCCCCCCTACCTCGTGTCGACATCCTCCTCCACCACCACTCGTCCCGGATATCTCGCGGCGACGCGGTGGAAGGTGGGATGGGACCCCACCAGCACCACGCGCACGCCGGGCTGCAGCCGCACCCACGACGCCAACGCTGCCAGCTGCCGCCTCCCCCGCCGCCCCGCGAACGGCCGCGGCGCCACGAACAGCTCCGCGAAAGCGGCGGGAGAGGTTACCCGTTCGCCAGTGGAGGCTCGGCGATATGGTTGATTTTGGTGGTCGGCCATTCGTGTGCTGGTGAACGGGGGGGTGTCTGATTGGTTGCGACGATACCACGGATCGCAAGGCGACTGGCCGCGTCGCACAGGTGAGTCAACGCGGTCAATAAAGTCGTTTGAGTCAGATTCACTCCAGCCTTCGTCGTCGCCCCGCACGTGACATTGTGCTTTCTCGAGCTGCCACGTGGCACTAAGCGACAGGAGCGTCAACCCGAGGGCCAGGATCCAGAGCAGCGGCAAGCAGGGAAGCAGAGGAACGTCAGAGGAGAAGGATTTGAAGCATGCAGTCCGACGGAGAGGGGCTTCGGGGTTGGATGGCTGACGTGGAAGGGCCTCCGGATTGGTGGGCTTACGTGGAGGGAAGACGAGCGAGGAGGTGTCACCGGAGTAAGTACTTAATGAGGAGGTTAAGGAGAGAGCATTCGCCGATAAACTCTTAACGGAGGAGTCGCTAGCGAGTGGTTCGCTCAGAGTGATGCCGATGGCTGGTGAGTCGTAAGGAGGGGTGATAGACTGAGAGGAAGCGCTCCGGCGGGATAACGATCGGTGAATGTCCCCTTTTAGAAGCATGGTGAGTCGTCTCTAAGCGACTCTAAGAGGCTCTAACTATCTCAAGAGACTATCAGTTATCCATGATAGGAATTCAGTAGCTAGCAGTTGGACGGCACAAATACCAAGGGGGCGGAGCGGATCCCCCGAAAAATCTCTCACCCACACCCAAGTAGCGAGGATTGCACTAGGGTGTCTTTTCCCCTTTTGGGAAAATATGTCAGTGGTAACTTACATGGGGAATTATAACTCGTACGGTAACGATTTCAACGCGTTTGGTACCTCGATTAACACGTTTGGTAACTCACCTAACACATTTGGTAACTAGCTTAGGAAGTATGGTAACTATACACTAGCAACCCATCACGCGAATGGTAACTAGAAGAAACCCTCGCCCAAAATGACCCTCATTCTGGTTTTTCCCACTCGCGTCAGACTAAATGACACCTCTGACACACTCTCAGAATTTCTGACACAATTTTACGAAATTCTGACACACTTTCCAAAATTCTGACACACTTTCCGAATTGCAAGCTAAATAAAAAAATGTAAGTGTTATGAAAACAACTGTTCTTACATAACTGACATTCTAGCGCTCTTTCAGCGAAATGTTTGTATTTCATTCTATCGCGCAGCCGGGGAAAACAAATCTATACCCCTTTTGTCAGAATCCCAACCACTAGACCATTGGGATAAATGTGGAAACAAAGAACGAGAATGAAATGACTATGAACGAAGTGAGTACAAATAGGAAACCCTAATTGGGTTGTACCCCCTATGGGATACCCCACTATAGCCTACAGAAACAAGTAAGCTATATGTTCTGACACACCCCCATAGGCAAAGTGGGGGAGAACAAGGGGTCACAAGACCAGTCAAGCAAAGCAAAGCAAAGCTCAGGGTGGATCACAAAGTCACCACGCATTCCGAGCACAAGTTCAAAGGCCACAAGGCCAGTTCACATGCAAGATCATATATAGAGATATACAAGAGCAAGAGTATATATATATGTGAAGGTACAAGCAAGGTCAAGAGGAGAGCAAGTGAGGCAAGACAGGCACAAGACCCAACTGCGTGCAGCAACGCTGATGATCACAAGGCGCAAGTGCCTTGGTGAAGACATCAGCAGTGTTGGCCTCAGAGGCCACGTACGCAAGTCGCAGCTGTCCACGCTGCTGTAGCTCACGAGCAAGAAAGTAGCGAAGAGCAATGTGCTTCGTTCTGTGCTCCAGTCGCTGCTCTCGACACAAGGCCAGCATGGCCTTGTTGTCTACGTACAGGACTGGAGGAGAACGAGGCTGCTCTCCAAGGTCGGTCAGCAGGTAGGTGAGCCAGCGTAACTCCTGTGCAGCCATAGCCCCAGCGTAGATCTCAACCTCACAACTGGAGCCGAGAACAGAAGACGAGCGGGTAGCCCGCCACGAGACAGAGCCGGAACCAAGGCTGAAGGTGTAACCCTGAGACGACCGCTGCGTAGCCTGGTCGTCAGCCCAAGAAGCGTCTGCGTGCCCAGTGAGGACCACTGGACTGCGCCCTCCAAGCACTAGTCCCATGCCCGACGTACTGCACAAGTAGCGCAACACCCTCTTCGCTGCAGCCATGTGCTCTGGTCGGTGTCTCCCAGGAGCAACAAAGCGTGCGAGAATGCTAAGAGGGTATGCGAGGTCAGGTCGTGTGCAGGTCATCAGGTACATGAGGCAGCCAACAAGCTCTGCAAACGGGCCGCTCGACTCTACGGACTCATCCGAAGGCAGAGCTGAGAGCGAGTGGCGAGTAGGCAGAGGAGTGGCCTGAGGCGAGGAGTACGTAAAGCCGAAGCGCTGAAGGACCTGCTGCACCATGTGTGACTGAGTCAGGGTAATGGTGCGGCGTGCTCTGTCCCGGGTGATCTGCAAGCCAAGGTAGCTGCGCAGTTCACCCAGCTCGTAGTCACGGTGAGCAGCAACGTGTAGCAGAACCCGAAGAGTGGTCATCTTCGGGGTGGGGGAGAAGGTCTGAAAGTAGTCAACCCCCTGCCGCTGACTGAAGCCACGAGCCACGTAACGCGCCTTGAAGACAGGCGGAGAACCCGGCGGCCGCTTCACCCTGAAAATCCACATGCCACTGACGATGTTCGCCCCAGGAGGGGGAACAGCGTCAACGTAGGTGCCTGTGGACTTCCAGGAAGCCATCTCTGCATCCATAGCTGCCTGCCACTGAGAGGAGTAGGGACCCTCTATCGCCTCCGCGTAAGAACGCGGAGTCGGGATGTCTGGTGCATCCGGGTCTCCCTCAGGGGCTAGCAGTACAGACGCGAGACGAGGTGAAGCGGCGGCCAGACACTGGAACTCCTCCTGCCTGTCCTCAAGGACGTCCGTGCCAAGGGCACACTCACCCCCGACGGACGGAGGACAGGCGGACTCAGACTCAGTGACAAGACGAGCAGCGTAGTCTAGACGACAGCGCGCAGCAAAGTCGACAAGCTCAGTGACAAGGGCAGACGCAGCAGACGACTCGAAGGAGGGGTCAGTGACAGCAGTAGCCAGGAGACGCGTGACAGTAGGACTGGCAGCACGAAGAGCGTCCGACTCCGGGTCAGGAAGAGCAGGAAGAGAGGAAGCAGGAGGAGAAGGCAAAGGGGCACGCAGAGGAGCAGTGGACGGACGCAGTGACATCCAGTGCGTGCAAGGGACAGGAGGAGGACGCTGACGCGACCCGCGACCACTAGCGCGCTCAGTACGAACAGGCGACACAGGACGAGACGCAGGCTCACGACGCTCAGTAAGACCTCCAGTCGGACCAGCGTAGGGAGAAGGAGTAGGCAAAGGGGAGGCAGGCTGTAGCTGTGGCTGTGACCGGACAGGCTGCGGACCCTCTAAGGGAGGAGGAGGAGGTGTAAGACCAAGAACCTGCTGCAGGAGCGGAACAAAGTACGGTCGGGGCCGCGCGGCGACGCTAGAAACAGCAGGAACAGCACCAGCAGCCCCGGCAGGAGCACCCACTCCAGCAGCACCTCCAGTAGCACCACCAGAAGCTCCAGAACCTCCAGCCGCAGCACCAGGAGCACTGTCAGTAGGGCCGCCAACGGCAGGCTCAGCGCCAACACCCTCAGCAGGACCAGCTCCAGGAGAACTCTCAGACTCAGCAGCTCCAGCACCCACAGTACGAGCGCCGGCGGGGCGCGCAGCAGCAGTACCCTCTGCAGTCGAAGAACCACCAGCACCAGCAGCACGCCTCCAGCGCCCGGCAAACCACTCACGCAGCTCCTGTGGGGAGAGTGGCTCCCGGCGAGACGAAGCACCCCCAGGCACAGCACCTCCAGGCTCAGCACCCCTAGACACAGCACCCCCAGGCACGGCACCCCCAGGCTCAGCACCCCCAGGCTCAGCACCTCCAGGCACAGCACCCCCAGACTCGGCACCTCCAGGCTCAGCACCCCCAGGCTCAGCACCCCCAGGCTCAGCACCCCCAGACTCGGCACCTCCAGGCTCAGCACCCCCAGACTCCGCACCCCCAGGCTCAGCTCCCGCAGCAGCACCAGAGTCACCAGTGACCTCGACAGGCTCGACCGCGTCTACCTGGGACACACCTGAAGGGGCAGGACCCTGAGGGGGGAGGGGGACTACTGGGGGGGGACCTGGTACCAAGAAGAGCGGGGGTGGGGGGAGGGACGGAGTGCGGTAGGGGAAGAGGCGGTAGTAGGGTACCGACTCGTCGAACGTGACGTCCTGGGAGGACAGAACACGTCGAGAGGTGGGGTGGTAAAACTGCCACCCAGGGGCGTCGGGGGGGAACCCCAGGAAGACGCAGGGAGAAGCACGAGGGGACAGCTTGTCCGCAGACAGGTCGCGAACAAACGCCCGAGATCCCCAGACCCGGAACGCCGACGCATCGCCAACCTTCCCCGTCCACAGCAGGGCTGGGGAGGTCTCCGGTCGAGAGACCCTGGGGTGGAGGTTGATCTGGTGCGCAGCGTACCTGACCGCAAACGGCCACAGAAAATGGGGAGCAGCCGCATGCATCATGGACGTACGAGCGACGTCCATGACCATGCCAATGCGGCGCTCAGCAATCCCATTCTGCTGCGGTGAGTCCGGAAGCGTGAAGGTCTGACGGATGCCTCGCGCACGACAGTAGGCACTCAGGAGGCCAGAGGAGAACTCTCCGCCTCTGTCCAAGTGCAGACGCAAAACAGGGAAGTCAGAGCCAAAGCTCCTCCGAAGCTGGAGACGAGCTGCGCGGATCCAGTCGATCAACACCGCAGTGACCTCACCCTTGCTGCGCAAGGGGAAGACTGTGGTGTAACGCGAGTAGTCGTCAACCACCAGCAGGAAGTAGCGCTCCTGACCCTGTCCACGGACGCGGGCTGGGCCCCACACATCCATGTGAAGCGTTTGCAACGGGGCCTCTGTCGGAGGAAACTGGGAGGAGTGAGGGGCAGCACGCTGGCGCCCCTCGACATAGGGGACACAGGTGGGGCC